TCGTTTAGCAAGTCTAACTCGTTTCAGTGGCGTGTGACTTGGCCCGAAACTGGATAACTGGAGGAGATCTATGAATGAAAGCGGCTGGCTGGATGGCTGGCTGACTGGACTGGGCTGCCTGGAGAGCTACGAGGCTATGCTAATCGCTGGGATTATAATTAATTAATTAGCCAGCCGGCGGCCATCGTCATCGTAATCGTAACCGCGTCTCTTTCTCCGCCGGCCCATGGGCGGACATGTGTGCAGGTCTCCGACAAGTTCGTTGCCTGAGTCTTTCGTTTTGACTCGCGCTCTTCGCGGGCTTCTGCCGCCGGGGGTTATTGCTTCCAGCGAAGCGTCAGAAATTTAATCAAAAATTTCATAAACGCTCAGCGGCCAAATTGCACATTTAATGACAATAATTTGCGTAATGGATTTTCATGTTCTCGTAATTGAATTTATTTTAATTTAAACTAAATTGCGCTACGCGTTACACGAATTGGTATCGGGCCAGCGGTTTCCGCGCTGCCTCGGAATATATAATTTTATGCGCTCACGCGGTCGCTCCACTAATTGATTATAATTCTGTCAGTCGCCACCGTTGCCGTTGGTACAGGTTCAGGTCTTGAAACTCCGAACTGAAAAATCTTCCTGGGGTCCCCGGCAAAGCGATCCAAGTGTCCAATACAGGCCATCTCTCTGCTCCACATTTCGCGCATTATTTCGCGCTCGTTAGCCAGGCTGGGGGCTGCTGCCTTATCCCATCACCATAACCAACTCCATCACCAGCCCCAAATGCCCATCATCATCAGCAACAGGCAGCATCAGGAGGAGGCTGCTGATACATCGATCGGCAGCTCACCTCCATCAGGCTCCCTCAGCTAGAGGTGGCAACTCAACTCCATCATCTCCCAGAACTAGAGGTGAGTACGAATGATAGGTTTCGGCCTAAAGACATCTTAAATTATATTCAATATATAGTCTTTGGTGAAACTTTAAGATCTTCCGAAGGTGTTTTATTAATTTTAAATATAAAACTGACTACTAAATATTTTATAAAACATTTTAAGTCTTCTAGAGATGCCTGTTTTCTATAATATATCCCACTCACGCCTCACGTTCTCATCTCTAGCTAAGATATGCCGTGCCTTGGCAGGTGTTTTGGGATCGAAACAGCGATCGATATGCTTCGTCGCAGCCTGTTAATAAGTACTCATCGCTTGGCACTCGGTACCTTCCCATCCAAGACAAGGAGTAACCATTACCTGGGGAGGTGTGCTGTAAAACTGTTTGATGAATTTCATAATGGTGGGACATTATGTTTGCTTCCGCTCGCTGTTGCCACAATTTACTTTTTATGAATGTCAATGGTTTTTTAATTAATTGCAGGCCATTTTCGGTCTGCCCCCCTATATTCGGTGACTCCTGATACGATACTTTACAAGCGTTACTCGTTTCCATATGCAAAAATCGGGTAACGCTCAAGGGGAACGAGCATAAATCTGAAATTGATCGCCAGCCATTAAATGCATCCCAACTCTATATGATTTGAAATGATGTGAAGCGAAGAGATCGTTAAATTTGTCCCACTTGATGTGCCAATAACAGTATTCTTCGTGAGCCATAAAAATAATTTGCAAATTTAAATAAAATTTGCAGTTTTCGTCAATAATCTTTAATAGATTAAATGCTATTTGTTTACTAGTTTCCCAGGGTATCAGGCAAGTGAAAGGTGGTTGAGTTTGAAGAGGATTTATAAAAACTTTTAACTAAACTTTCATATTTTTAACATTAATTATAAACCATTGAGGCTGTAAAGCAAGTAATGCATAACTGGCATTAATTTTCTTGTTAAATACGATGATCAAATATAACAAAACCTAAATGATCAACTTTAATTAATTATTTTAAATTAATTTTCTTAAATTCCATTAACTATAGACATACTCTCCATTGAAAAAAACCCACACCATTGTACTTCCTGCGATCGACTGCTGCTGTACTGTCAGTTCATTAAAGGCGCTTAAATTGTATTTCAATGTGGAGACCTGGGCCAGAAATCAGGCTTGGCACTCCACACCACGAGCGCCAGAAGCGCAGAAATCCAATCAAAACGCTGCCCAAGACGCCACCAACACCAGAAGACCAGAACTCTGGCCATAAAATCGTAGTAGTTGGGAGTCAGTCTTAGCCGGGCTCGAACGAAGACCGAAGACTCGACCCCCTGTGCGAGCCATTGTCGTAAATCACACATTAAAATATTTATTTGTATTTTTAGTTGTTCAGAAATTAGCTAAGAGCCCCCAGTCGGGCACCGAAATCGAGTAGGGGTCGGGGTCGGGGTCGAGGAGTCGGGTCCGGCTTTGTTGTGCGAGTGAATTTTAATTTCCTTTTTATGATATTTTAATTTATTTCAGCGTAAATCAAAACCCAAACGAGACATGCTCTCGCTCTCTTTTTTGTTATTTTTCTCGCAGTCTGAAGAGGCTGCACTTTTAATAAATTAGATTACTCTTCGATGGAACACTTGGAATAATATTCAATAAGTCTTGATCTGAAGGAATGTTTTTAAGTAGATTCATCGAGAGTCAAAATAAGTTCTTTCTAAATATCTAAACATAAAACACATGACACATGTATTTAAAATAAAATTAAATTAATTTTTAAATTAAAAATTAAAATTAATTTTCAAATTCTTCATGGACATTCAGTTCCTTTAGTATGAAGAGGATAGAGAGCAGTACATATCTATTATAAGGTTTTTTATATCTTTATATAATTTTTCTATTTGTCTAAAGATTTTTGTATCCTTTCTATAGGAAACATACATCCCTTCTTCAACGAAACCTCCTCCTTGGTTTGTTCAAGTGCACTTCTTTATTTGGCTTTCGGAGTGGAGCAGCGGCGCTTCCTCGGATCTCCGACATCCGCGCGAACTGCATAAATCTTGAGAGGCACGGGACTGGGTAACCCTGCAATCTGATGGAGCCACCGGGAGTGGCGGCGGGAGTGGAGCTTAAGGTGGACTAACAAGCTGGAAAACACTCCGAGGCTGGCATGCAGACAAAGATTGGTTTTTCACAGCTTGTGGTACGTCCGGCAGTTTATTAATTTGACGTTTCCAGTTGCAGTCCAGCAATACGGGATGATCGCCCTGGAACGACGACCAGTTAACGGTGCAACAATTTGTATACATTTTTAGGAGGCACTGGCTTTTTTTCGGCTGTGGGGCGTGGCCGGGATCCCACAGCAATTAGTCCAGAAATGGGACCAGTCCACTGGCTTCCATCTAATTATGCAGACAGACTCTTTCCCCAATCTCATTCCATATCCAAAAACCTCGAATGCTATGGGGGAAGGAAAGCTCTTTAAAGCTATATGGACTGTTAGCCAGTTTCTGGCAATTCCACTAGATGGCGATGGAGTTGGATTAAGTCTTATACGCTGTTAACTTGGCCATGTTCCAGGGGAAAACTGTTCCTGCAGGTTGGAGCCTGTAGTGTCCTAAGGTTATCCTTAAAGATGGTGATGTTAATAGAACTTTAAGCCCCTTAATTAACACTTGGTTTAATTACAGGTATTAAAAGATGCAATAAGCCTTTTGAAACTATTAAAAAAATACTTGGTTATGACTTGAGAAGACTTTTGAGTTGGACAGTGAAATACTAAATATATATTCTTACTATTTAGTTAATAATAATATATTATAAAGTACTTTCAGCTTATTCTGGTAGCTCACTAAATTGTAGCAAAACATAGAAAGAAGTTAGTTATGTTTTTTTAATGCATTTCCTATACATCTTTGCCTCTAATCCTTCAAAATCCCAACAGTATCTCCTTGTAGCTTCTGAAACCCTCTTCAAACCTCTTTCAAATGTTAAACTATCCCCTCAGACATGTTTCCACTCAAACTATTCAAAGGATTTAGGTCACATAAAGCTTCCATGTTGCACAAAAAACTCCATATCACAGACTTTAACAGACTCACCCTAAGTAACGACTGGAAGTGTTCATTTCTGGTCCAGGGGTAGTTCGAACCAAGCCTGTTAAGTAGCATAATGAACACTCAACAGAGTCCTGGAAAAGCCAGTAACAGAGTCTGTAAAATGTTAAGCCCAAAAGGACCTTTCCCTTTACAGAGCCCTGTTATATATATAGAATCAGATTGAGAATTTGGCGTCGCAATGCTGACAGTTTGCTGTTGTTGGTCGGAAGACAGGCGGATAAGTTAATGTACAATCTCTGTTCGCTTTAAAAGCATATGAGGCGATGTTGTCTTTATGCCTGAACAGAGTCGACCCAGACTTCTTTCACGCACACCCCGCAACCACCCAGCAATTGCTGTTTACACGCCTTGAGATGAGGAGGGGCCAACGCATTTGCATAAAGCAGCACAGGATGTGGAGGCTATGAAGGAGGCTACGTAGGATACGGACGATATGAAGACTACGGATTCTACGAAGGAGTATAAAATGGGCGACGGAGTCGAATGACGACGATGTCGCCAACTTGTTAGCGGACGCTGGCATTTTTTATTTTTTTTGTATACTTGCATATGCAGAGATAATGCGCCGCCCATTGCCACCCAATGGCCACGTCCTTGCCGGGCGCCCACACATGTCAGTAGCAGAAGCAGTAGCAGTAGCAGTGGCGGTGGCGGTGGCACTATCCATGCTCCTTACTCCATGCAATGTCATGGCTGCGTGCGTGGCTAAGAGAGCACATAAGTCCCCCGGAAAGACGAGCCAGTCCGTGTCTGTTTCAAGGCAAGATGTTAAGAGGGGGGAAAGAGTTGGGAACTGGCAACTGGCAACTGGGAGCCAAGGACACGGATGCGGACAGACTGTTCCAGTTTCTTTGCTGATTAGTGATATATGTATGCATGCATGCAAGCATGCCTGGGTGTGGGATGTCAGCTAGAAACGGATTACGAGATTACTTTCTTGGAAAGGAGATAATGTTGAAAATCAAATGAATTAGTTTAAAGAGAAAATATTATCGGGTGTAGAAGAAAACTGCAATTTACGAATTGTAGACACGGAAAAAATATGTATTTCTTTATTCATCATAAGTGATTACAATTAACAATAGATGTTTGTTATTTGGTCACTGGTCCTAGCAGTTTTATCAGCGAGTTTTCGTAGTCGTAGTTAAGTCTAGTGAACATCTTTTAGGGTGCCTTTCCTCCTCCGAGTGCTCCTTCTCCACTTTCTCTTCCTGCTGCTCAGGTGTTGAGTCTTCCCTTTGCTGGCCTTCAGCTTGTTCCTTTCGAGCACTCTGTTCATCATGGGTTATATCAAGACCACATTCTTCCAAATGTATAACTTCTATAGATTCCTTTTCCTCCTGGCACTCTGCAACTTCAAGTTTCTCTAGACTATGTACCTCTAGTAATTCGACTTCCATTTCCTTCACTTCCTGGTTTATCTCAGGAAAAGGCAATGCTCTAAGTCGTTGCACCATATGCTCTAGAGTCTCAGGAGCTTCCTGTTGCTCTTTGGTAGCTTCCTGTTGCTCCTTGGCAGCTTCCTTGACAGATGATCGCTTTCTGGCCACATCATCCTGTCGGGAGGCTGCACACAGCTGGGCCTGCGGCCTGCTCCTCATAGTACTCGTAACTTTGGGAATGGCTCCCGTGGATTGCTTTTGAATGGCTAACTGAGTCGAGGTGGTGGTTACAGTGACGCAACAGGCAGCTCCCTCGATTTCCTCCTCCTCCTCCGGCTTGGGCACAATTCGAGTGCAGGCCACAGAGTTCAAGGATGTGGTGGCCTCCTCCGAAGGCTGTGCTTGCTCTACAAGTTCAGCTTCCTGACGGCGGATGGCTTCACGTTCCGCTATTCTGTTGATCATGGCGGTGCCCCTTTGGGAGGTGGAGCTCAACCTGGCTATCAATTCATTTCCCTGTGCTTCCAGCAAACGGAGACGTTCGGCTCTATTGTCTGATACTCGCTCAATGTCCTCCAAACGCTGTTCCAGAGTTTGCGAGATGCTGGCCGAGGATTGAGGTTGCTCTCGCTGAGGATTCGGACTTTGATGATGCTCGTGCAGAGTGTCCAGCTTGGTGACCAAGCTCTCGCCACGGTCGGTGTTCCTGGAAAGCTGCGCTAACAACTGCTGGCTTTCCAGCTCCAAACGCTGAAGGCGCGCCGCTCTCCTGGAGGTGTAGGCCTCCTCCTTCACCGTGAGTGGCGACGTTGAAGTTTTGTTAGAAGGTACAGCCGCAGCTTCTTCTTCTGTATTACTTTCAAAACTTCCCTCCCGACTTGGTGCCCTTCTGATCCTGTCTAGGGACTTTTTCAGATAGTGTCCCCTGTCTGCGGTACGTCTAATCCTCGATATTAGCTGACGAGACTCCTCCTCGAGCCGACCCAATCGCTCTGATCGCTTCCTAGTGTACTCCTCCTCCCTGGGCGTGAGACTTCCGGTGGCTGGTGCGGAGCTGGCTCTGGTCATCCGTTCGAAACGCTTTTTATTGATAAATTCCTCCAGGGGCACAGCGTGCTGTGCGGGAGAGATTTCATCCTGGAACTGGCATAACTGAATCTCGAGACGTTCACGATTGTCGGAGGTCTCTAGGACCTGTTGGATGAGGTTTTTACACTGCTCCTCCAGCTTCTGGATGCGACTAGCGGTTCCAGAAGTTCCAGGAGTATCATCCTCGGCTCGTTGCCTGCTCCTAGAGCTGTGTGATGTCCTCGAAACACCCCCACGTGCTCCATCCTCCTCCTCTTGCTCTTGCTCCTCATTGTCTGCTCCACCTCTTGGGTCTCCTGCTGAGTCTGAAGCTTCTTCACGCCAACCACATGTAGGTGGGGCACTGTTCCAGCGGAGGACAATCTCCTCGGCTTGTCGACCGGGTGAAGTGCTTTGCATTCGCTTAATCCTGCGCGTATGCTCGAATTGATCCCTGAGAATCTTCCTACGACAGGCGGACGATGATGATGATGAAGTAGCTGCCTCAACGGGAGCTGCTGCCGCCACCTCACGTTCCTCATCGGACTGAGGCCCCGAATCGCTGTAGCCACTCTCCGCCGAATGATTGGCATCTTCGAGCTTCCTCCTCGCAAATTCCCGCCGCCACTCATCGCACTGTTCCTGGCTCTCATCGTTCTTTGCCCTGGCCAAAGCCCATTTCCTGCGGCAGTATTCCAGCTCATCCTTCAGTTCGCTTAAGAGCCGCCTCTTTTGCTGCAGTTGGTAGCGAAGGATCTGTTCCTGGGTGTGGAGCTGGCGGTGCTGGCGCTGCATCTTACCTACCAAGTGCCAGGTTTTGGTCAGCTCCAAGCTAACCGCACTCAACCGCTTCTGCTGCTCGTTGAGGCGGTAGTCAAGGTGGCTGTTTAGAGTCTTCAGGCGGCTCGTCTCCTTCACCAGTGACTTCTTCTCCAGGATGAGGTCCTGCCAAGGAGGATAAAAAGGCATTAGTTACGGATGCTACTTAAGTGGGGAGATTGAACTGAAGACGAAAACTTTTAAAGTGCTTGCTTCAGCCAGAGATGGCCGAACTTTTCACTCGATTAGAGTTTAAACCAAAATAATACAAAGTAATGAAGGCGAAACGAAAAGAAAGGTAGTTTAAATACTCTGGAATCTGGCTAAGAACTATATATAAACTAAACAAAATTTTATATCGATTTTTTGTGTTTCAAAAAGAAGATACTATACTAAATACAGTTAATGATAAAATTCCTTTGCCTGTAATTAAAAGGAAAACTCTTCTCACTCAACGAACATATAAAAGCTAATCCTTCAGCTGCAGAACACAACATCTAACCCCTATCTAACCCCTAAACAAACGCATTGGGAATAGTCTCTCTTTCTCTCTTCAAGGAAATCAGATATGCAACATGTTTTGTGCCAACGGCAACTGACCGATAAATTCAATTATGTGCACAACAACGGACTCGGACTCGGCCTCGGACTGCAAGGACCTTGGACCCCCAACCTAGCAGTCACCTCACTCCCCCTCCGCTCGGCACTTCCTTTCTACATCGATGCTCGGCAGGACGTCAGCAATAATGAAGCTCAGGCTCGTGCTTGGCCGCTCGGCACTCGACTAAATAAAGCGCTTAAGTGAATAATGCAAAACTTTGCAACAGCCGCAGACGAAGCTCCAAGGAGCAGCGAAAAGAAAAAGGGAAGCATCCATAGCGGGCTTGAGCGGGGAATGGCAGAGGCTGGCAAGGAAGGCGGGCAGGCTGCACTTCATCAACAAACCGGATACGACAACTAACAAGCCCGATTGTCCGCAGCACTTGAAAGAAGCAAGGGAGTAGTTGGCGGAACTGTGTCCATATACAGAGAAAAACCAAGAAAACTTGCTGATTATTTAAAATTAAATCTACAATACTCAAAATGACAAAACATTTAAACCTGGAGATATATTTGCGATAAATGTTTCGGACTGTGTCACTAACCAATTTTTCTTTTTATCTATCAAGCACCTACATATTCCTCTGTTCTACTAGCACCAACCTACGATTACTGAACCTCTGATAAGAACGAATTTAAGTTTAGATAAACCTAATTTAAGGACTTTCTCTCTGTGTAGCAACTGTAACTTGGGCTCACCTTCAGCTTGATGTAGGTCTTGCTGACGCTCAGCTCCGATGGCTTGCGGTGGGTATCCTCCGGCCCTCCATCTACTCCAGCTGCACCAGTTGAGGCAGGACCAGCACTAGTTGAGGTCGCACTAGCACCACTGCAGGACGGCAGCTCCTCGAACTGCACGCGCTCGATTTTGTGGTGGCTCAAGAGCTCCATCAACACTTTCCAAACTTTTGGCAAGTTGCCAATGATTTCTTGGGCCGAGGCAACTTTTCCCATAATTTCGGGCTCATGGCTTTTTAACGAAGCCGCACTGGCACCCGCACCGGCTCCCGCTCCCGAGCTCCTCTTTCTGTGCTTTCTGACGAGTGCAGCCTCCGGTTTACAACTGTCCGTGGTGTCCTCGTTTGTGGGCGTGGGCGTGGCGCTGCGACTTTTGTCCGATTCCACTGGGGAGTCGCCATGACCAGTGGCCTGCTCTACGAGCTCAAAGAGGAGCTTGGGCAGCGTGGCGCCATCACTGCAACTGCCTTCGGCTTGGGTCATTTGATTGAGAAGCTGACGGTTCTCTTCCAGCATTTGATTTAGACGATCAATGTCCATGCTGCTTTTCTCATTGAAACCCATGATGAGCTGGCTAAAGAGCTATGATGGCAAGGGAGAATGAGTTACAGAAGAGGCCGGTGTACATGAGGGATTAACTCACCATGTTGACTGCTCCCACCTGCTCGCTGAGCAGACGCTTCTCGAACTTGTGCTCATTGCATTCCTCACGCAACTTGGCCAGCTCCTCGTTGGCTGTTTCCACCTCTTTCATAAGGGTCTGATTGCGCTCCTCAAAGTTCTTGGTTCTATTAGGTATGAAAAATAGTTATAAATATTTGTAGTGCAAGTATTAAGCTCCTATTTACTTCTCCTGCTCGGCTATGAGTTCATCCTTTTTGATTGAGATTAATCGTTGCAGGTTCTCATACTCAGCAGCCGCCACACGTTGTCGTTCCTCATAAAGTTGTCTTAGTTGACGAATGTTAACCAGTTGACGCTCGTATTCTTGGCGGAGATTATTCGACATTATCTTCATCTCGCGCTCGCTGAATGAATTCTCTATTTGGGTTAGCTTCACCTTAAGCTGTAAACAGAAAACATCAACAATTAGCTTAATTTTTATATAATAACCTTTATTTAATAGTCTCACCTGAGCACACTGTTCCTCCTTGACACTCAGCATTTGCTTGCAGCAGGAGATGACTTCCTTGAGGGTTCCCACCTGGCGTTGAACCACTTCCAGCTCTCCGCGCAGCGATAGATTCTCGGCCTGAGCCTGTTGCAGGGCTAGCTGGGCATTGGCAAGCTCGATATTGGCATGGCGACTTCTGGAGGTGGGATTGTCATCATCGGGATCGATGTCTGAATTTGGAGTGGTTTCCTGCTCCTGTACTTCCTCCTCTTCACCCTGCTCCTTGCGTAGCCTTCGATTCTCGGCCATTTCTTTGGCCAGTTGCTGCCTAAGATTTGTTATCTCATCTCTTAGATCCTGCACGGCAGTTTGTCGAGCTTCTCTCTTTTGGCGCAACTCCTCCCTGAATTCCTCCAGACTTTGTTCTTTTTTTGGACAGTCATCCGCCATTGCTGGAGCCTCCTCTGCGATAATTTCCAAAGATTTTTCTTGCTTTTCTTTCCTAGAAGCAACGGAAGATCCAGCTTCCTCTGAATTTCTAGGTAATTGTTGAGGGGCCTGCTCCAGAATGAGATTTTCGTGCTCTATGTTGTGCCACCAGGGCTCGTCGCCGTCGGTTGGCTGCTGCTGGGGCTGCATCTGCGCCTCATCTGCAGACTGGGTGGACTCGGCATTTCCCATTTTCCCCGAGAAGAACAAAGGCGAAAAGCAGCGCTCTGGTATGCGGTTGTGGCGATCTGTTTACCAATGCAAGCAATGATGACGATGATAATGCTGCTGCTGCTTGTCGTCTGGCAAGCGTTATATTTACGATCTACGATCTGCCTTAATGCGACTTTTCCTCAAGAGAAAGACTGTTCTTCGTCAGAGCACAAAGAAAACCCGGTGATCCAACGACGATACAGCGTTCTGCAGATCTATAGATCGTTTCCAATTGATATGGCTAGCATATATACACACAGAAATATCGATGTCTATATCTGTGTGCGCACACGCGAGTTTTGTCGATTTCGCAATTTTCTATTAACTTTCACTTTTCCACACAAAGGATAGGTTTTATTTTATCACTATGATGATTAGTTCGTTAAAATATATATCGTTGTAAACTTGGCACTTCAAGGTAAACCGAAAAAAGTAACGAAAGTAATAATCTAGTATACATATGATAAAGTTCTATATGTATTCGACGAGACGTTGGAAAATTTTTGTTCGAAATCTAAATTTTCTATCCGCTCGACGCTCGAACGGAACTTTTCGGTTGGCCAGCTCGGGAAAAACTGAGAAAACATCGAATAGATTGGGCTATTTTTAACGCACCGTGGACATCTCTCTCCTCTATTCTATTTTTTCTCTCGTGGCCAACTCTCGCATAAGATGCTTTGAGGGAAGCTATGATTAGGAGGAGGGTCTGGGTCTAGCACATAGTCTGAGCATTTAGTCAGGACTCATGCTCCCTCCTCCCTTAATTATTGTTTTGGGTCCAATGCACATTTTAATTAGACAAATATGTCATATGATTGGCGTTTAAATTTAGACACACGCGTCAGTTTAATTATGACTAATGGGTAAAATCAAAACAAAACTCTTGCCACATCGGCGCAAGGTAAGACAATGAAGATCACGACCAACTGTAAAGTGGCTGCCAAGGATGGTTTCGCAACAGTTACAAGGTCATTGCTCTTAAATATGAACCAGAAAAGGATATTGCCTGAAGAGTTTAGCTTAATGAAGTGAACATTAAGTGTAAAGTGAATTAAGTAAAACAAAGTAAATAGAACGTAAAATATATCTTATATCTAATAGTACCTAGATAGCTTGGGTGTTTATCAATGAACAGATAGTTTTTAACCCTTTCAAGGATTCCAAAAGTCAAACTATCTTAATATAGAAAACAAAACCTCTTAGCTTTTTACCATTTGTCCACTTGTAATCACTATTTGACCCACTTTCCTCTACCATTGCCCACAAAGGAGAATATATACATAGTATATGTATATGTATGCCCTTTATTAACCAATTTGTGACAGTAGTAGCCAAAGGGTGCGTAGGAAAAAGTTCCGCGGAAAAGTTTGAAATGAAAATGCATTTGCTAGCTGATTTTTGCCCAGGTTGTGCCAGCTTTTCTTTCTTTTCCCTAACAAATACAAAAAAGTGGGGAAACACGCTGCAATGACTCTGAACCAAAGGAGAGAGCCTTCGGACGAATGTGGAGGATGATAGGGGAAGCACACATTTGGCAAAGTGTCGCCAGGCTTGAAAATGAAAATCAACAATGCAATTTGCCTTGGTGTCTCCTACCTCTTCTCACACTCTCTGTTGTTTGTTGTTGCGACTAAAAGGGGGGCTAAAGAAAAAAAATCCGGCTAAAAACTTGAAGCGCCTGGCAAAAGTTGTGCCCGCCGCCCCCAACTTTCACAGAGATTGCACGCACAGGCAAATGTGCAACGAAAGTTGCAAGTTGCAAGAAGGATACGAGGCAGCCAAGGACAGACAGGGTTCCCGGGAAAAGTTGCAGGAAAATGTGCATTGTGTTCATTATAATGGAATAATAAACCGAAGCGACTGGGCTCAGATTGAGACCGCCCACCCAAAGGCTCAGACTTTGTCCTTGCTGTTTTTTTTTTGGGAGCAGTCAAACTTCCCATGTCTACATATTCTTAAATATCAAATAATTGTCAGTAAATTTGTTAAAATAAATTTCCTTAAAGATTATTAATTCCTGAAAAGGCATATTCTTCAATATTACAATGCCATCGTCAAAATAAAGTATCTAATTAATTGAGTTCCTAATTTGTAAGTTGAGCTTGTAGAATTTCTACTGTATTTTTGGCAAGGTTTCCCCTTTTGTCCTACGCTTCATCTTGTGCCGAGTTAATATCCAAAAAGGAAGTTTCAGCTGCAGCTTCATTATCCTGACAGTAAGCTAACCATATGAAGCAATGCCATCTTAGCCAGCTCAGCTCACAGGGTCTGCGTTTAATTAGAATAACTTTGGGCACAAAGTCAAAGTTAAGAAAGGCATCCTGAGGACAATGTAAGAAGATGAGATGGCTCCCTTGCACTGCGACAAAAGCTAGGCCCTAGATTAATCGTAAGCTCGAAGGATGCTGCCTGGAGAATCCCACTTTTCTCCCACTGCAAGTCTCGAGGATGTACGATTTACAAAGATTCCCATGCCAGTCAGCAAGAATCGGGCATAAATAATGCAACAAACTTGCCGCATATATTGCGGCCAAGAATCCGGGCAGACAAATAGGGGATGTAGGGAAGGTTTTGACTTATGTATATGAGGCAACAACAATGCAACAACTTGATTAGGGACGGGACACAGCAACACGTTGACACATCCTAACATCCTGCTGCAAAGTCTCATTTCCGCAGTACCCGGTGTCTTACATACTAAATAACAAGCGCCACTTACCGGATATGATGTGCGAATGATGTGCAAGTGGATTTGGAGCTGTCGGGCATCTAGTTAAAGCTATTTCTTGTTTTGATTGCACTTTAAAAACACACAAATTGTATAAATTTCGAAATTTCACTGATAAGAAAACATTTCTCGCGCCCGCAGCATCAGCTGTTCAACAAAAGAGTTGGCAGCCCTGTGGCGGAACTAGTAGTAAGCGAAAGTTGTTTTGGAACCAGAAGAATTTCATGTTTACAAATGTTATGTATATAAATATTGTAAATATCTGAGTTTAAATTAACTGCTTAGCTATTTTGCCGAAATACAATTTTTGTAGTAGAAAAATATGTATTATAAATTCGTAAATTTATATATTAATGATTTTCATTAAGTTCTTTGCGAACCACCTCACTCTGACCAGTTCACATTTGAAATTGATTCAGTTCCATTTAGCTCCGACTCAAAACAACACGTGCAACGGCAAGCAATTCTGTCTTATATTATTATTGAGAGGTTTTCTAAAAGAAACAAGCCTGCAAAATGCTGGAGGAGATGCGGACAATGAAGACCACTCCAGTGCTGACCAATTCTCGGCCGGAGTTCAAACAGATACCAGAAAAACTGAACCGGGTAACATCCAAAAGGCCCTCGCCTCTCTAACACTGATAAATTTTTTGTTATTTTCACAGCACCTGTCCAACTTGGGAGCACCCCATGTGGACTCCTTGACGAAATGCTGACCGTTGGCTTGGACAGTGTGGCCAAGCATATGACTCCCATCCAATGGCAGAGTCCTGCCGGCGAAAAGATCTCCCTGAAAGTGGCAGCAATTTGGATTTCAAAGCCTCAGGTGCCCCAGGATGTGATTGATGTACGCACCCGTGAGATATATCCCACAGACTCCAGACAGCTACATGTTCCTACTCCGGCATGTGTTCTGTGCGTCTTGGTTGGAGTGTCAATGGCATAGAGAATGCGCCCATCAACATTGATCTCGGGAACTGCCCATTATGCTGCGCTCAAAGGCCTGTAATCTGGGAGGAGCCAGCCCACAAGACATGGTGAAACACGGCGAACACGACAGCGAGTGGGGCGGAATATTCGTGATCCGTGGAAATGAGAAGATTGTTCGTATGCTGATCATGACCCGGAGAAACCATCCCATCTGCGTAAAGCGTTCTTCGTGGAAGGATCGTGGTCAAAACTTCAGCGACCTGGGCGTGTTGGTGCAGACTGTGCGTGAGGATGAGTCGTCCTTGAGCAATGTACTTCACTATCTGAACAATGGCACCGCCAAGTTTATGTTCTCCCACGTAAAAAGGTTGTCGTATTTGCCCGTCTGCCTGATCCTTAAGTGCCTAGTGGATTATACTGACGAGGAGATCTACAACAGACTTGTCCAGGGCTACGAATCAGATCAGTACTATGTCTCCTGCGTGCAAACCATGCTGCGGGAAGTCCATAATGAAAATGTGTATACACACAGCCAGTGCAGGAGCTTTATTGGCAACCTATTCCGCTCACGATTCCCCGAGGTTCCGGAATGGCAGCCAGACGAGGATGTGACTGACTTTATCCTCAAGGAACGTGTCATGATTCACCTGAATACCTATGAGGAGAAGTTCCAGCTTATTGTGTTCATGGTCCAGAAGCTGTTCCAATGCGCCCAGGGTAAACACCGGTGGAGAACGTTGACTCGGCCATGATGCAGGAAGTACTCCTTCCGGGACATCTTTACCAGAAGTATCTGGGTGAACGCATTGAGTCCTGGGTCATGCAGGTACGCCGCTGCCTCCAGAAAAACTAATCACTCCGGATACTCTGTTGAACAGCGCCATATTGACGCAATGCATGCGACAGGCGGGCGGAGTGGGGCGCTCCATGGAATCCTTCCTGGCCACGGGAAATATAGCCAGTCGCACGGGCCTTGGCTTGATGCAGAACAGCGGCTTAGTTATCATGGCAGAGAACATTAACCGAATGCGTTACATGTCTCATTTCCGGGCCATTCACCGTGGTTCCTACTTCACAACGATGAGAACCACCGAGGCGCGACAGCTACTCCCAGATGCCTGGGGCTTTATTTGCCCGGTCCACACTCCCGATGGCACGCCCTGCGGTCTGCTAAATCATCTGACACTGACCTGCGAGATCTCCAAGCGTCCGGATCCCAAGTTGGTAGAGGGCATACCCTCCCAGCTGATCGAGATGGGTATGCTACCATTATCCAACCGTCGGAAGCCTGATGGCAAGCTATATGTAGTCTTCCTGGATGGCAAGCATCTCGGACACATTCATCAGTCGGATGCCACACAGATGTCGAGGATTTGCGGCATGGCAAGATCTTTGGAACCTTTCCCCAGATGATGGAGATTGGCTTTATTCCCTTTAAAAAGAACGGACAGTTTCCGGGCTTTTCCTAGCCACTGGACCGGCGCGAATGATGCGTCCCGTGTGGAACCTTAAGTGGAAGATGGTGGAGTATATCGGAACCTTGGAGCAGTTGTACATGGAGATAGCCATTGATCCAAAGGAGATGTATCCGGAGTTCACAACTCACCTGGAGCTGGCCAAGACGCACTTCATGAGCAACCTGGCCAATCTGATTCCCATGCCAGACTACAATCAGTCGCCGCGTAACATGTACCAGTGTCAGATGGGCAAGCAAACGATGGGCACACCATGCCTGAATTGGCCAAAGCAGGCGGCCAACAAGTTGTACCGCCTCCAGACGCCAGGAGCGCCTCTCTTCCGACCCGTTCACTATGACAATATCCAGTTGGATGACTTTGCCATGGGCACGAATGCTATAGTCGCTGTCATCTCCTACACAGGCTACGACATGGAAGATGCCATGATTATCAACAAGTCGGCATACGAGCGAGGCTTCGCCTATGGTAGCATTTACAAAACAAAGTTTGTATCGCTGGACAAGAAGACCAGCTACTTTGCCCGGCATCCGCACATGCCGGAACTGGCCAAGTACCTGGACACCGACGGACTGCCACATCCCGGCTCCAAGCTGAGCTATGGCAACCCCTTGTACTGCTACTTTGACGGCGAGGTGGCCACCTATAAGGTGGTAAAAATGGATGAGAAGGAGGATTGTATGGTGGACAGCATCCGGCAGCTGGGAACCTTTGATCTGGCGCCCAAGAAGATGGTGGCCATTACATTGCGAGTGCCACGACCGGCTACCATTGGCGATAAGTTTGCGTCGCGAGCTGGACAAAAGGGTATTTGCTCACAGAAATACCCAGCAGAGGATCTACCATTCACGGAGTCCGGCTTAATCCCAGACATTGTGTTCAATCCCCACGGCTTTCCCTCCCGTATGACCATTGCTATGATGATCGAAACGATGGCGGGAAAGAATGCCGCCATACACGGTGAAGTCTACGATGCCACACCCTTTAGATTCTCCGAGGAGAACACGGCCATTGATTACTTCGGTAAAATGCTGGAGGCTGGTGGCTATAATTACTACGGCACTGAGAGGCTATACTCCGGAGTAGATGGTCGTGAAATGACTGCGGATATATTCTTTGGTGTGGTCCATTACCAACGGCTGCGTCACATGGTCTTCGACAAGTGGCAGGTGCGATCGACGGGAGCGGTTGAGCCGCGTACCCATCAACCGATCAAGGGACGCAAGCGCGGTGGCGGCGTGCGTTTCGGAGAGATGGAACGAGATGCCCTCATCTCCCATGGTGCGGCCTTCCTGCTGCAGGATCGTCTATTCCACAACTCTGACAAAACGCACACGCTGGTGTGCCACAAATGTGGCTCCATTCTATCGCCGCTCCAACAGATTGTCAAGCGAACCGAAACGGGCGGACTCTCCTCCCAACCGCAAACGTGTCGGTTGTGTGGGGATAACACCTCCGTGTCCGTGATCGAGGTTCCGTTCTCCTTTAAGTTCCTGGTCACCGAACTGAGTTCGGTCAACATCAATGCCAGGTTCAAGCTGGAGGAGATTTAGGTGGATACCACATTAGATTATTGTTAGTCTTTATTTTTATCCATTGTATGATTTCTAATAAATTTGATCGAAAAAAACTTTAAACTTATCCCGAAAATTTTAGGGATCTCTCTTTTGAGATTTAAAAAAACAAATCATCATTTTAGTATTTTAAATCTTATAAACAACACTTTTAAATGGTTTCAATTTATATTTATTTATTTATTTAAATACATATTTGTTTACGTTTTACAGTTAAATTCCTGCATTTGCTATATGTAGTTGTGGTTTCTTTTCTTGTTGCTGTCGTAGTCGCACATGTAGTGTGTGTGTTTGTTTAATGGAATCTTTTTTCGTGGAATTTTGTAACATTTAACTATTGCACTTTGAAGGAAGAAGGGCTTCCAACTTCCAACTGACATGCACATTGATACGAAAGGGGGATTGAGAGTTTAGTGTTAATAAGTATTAGATGACAATTTCCATCGGTATATCGCGGTATTCAGTATCAGTATCTATATAATGTATATTTTAGTTTACAATTCTTTGTTCTTCATCGGCTGCCGCCGTCGCCGCTGCCGCTGCCACCGCCCGTCTCTCGATTGAAGGGAGAGTGAGTGTCCAGCAGATGGTATGGCTTGCTCCTGCATCGGATAAGTTAATACTTCGTGCTATATAAATCGATTGCGGCGCACAACATCATGTAGTTTGCTTTGTCTTCACCTTAGCTATGGTACACATACGAAACGAAATAGTACACAGAGGACACAGGATCATCAATCGAAAAATTCTGCTATAATATAAGATCTTGAATCAATTTTCGTTAAATTTCTCAATTTGCTCAACAATGGTTTAATCAAAGAGTGTGTTTGTTTTTTAATAATGATCCGTCTCTCTTTCTAATTATTTGTCTATTATTTAATGAGATTTCTGCGGCAACTTCTCCTCCCTCTTCGTCATCGTTCAGATCTCTTTACAATCAAAAAACACTAAACATGAATTTCGTTTTGATGCAATTGCAATAATCAATATATATATATATGTATAAATATTTAGATAACGATTTGCATATTTGCATATTTGTCATTTTGCAAGCAATTACCTTTTGTTTTTTGTATTGTTTCTTGTTTTTATTACAACGACGTATATACTAGGTATATGTATGTGGCTTGTATGAATGTATATCTGCTGTGTAATAGGTATATAATATCCAATTGCTACTCTGCCTCGAAATGATGCAACAATATATAATTTGTCATACACTGAAACATAATCTAATTATGTTCTCTCGCTTCGCTACTATTATGAACTTTTTGAGCTTAACATTTACAAAGAATTCTGATACGGGTGTTCGGGTGAGTGAAAGGTGGATAGTGGACAGTGGAAAATGGTGTTGAAGTACGAGTAATATTCTCAAATCAAGGGATCAAGAGGAAACAGAAAACAGGAAACGGGACAAGTGGGGTACAGAGGGTATAGCTCACTCCGCAAAACTCACTGCTGCTGGAGAAGATGAAAGGTACGTATGAAGAGAGATTAGGAGTGGCTGCTTGGCATAACTAAACGCTCTCTGCTTTTGATATTTTTTTCTCTAGGTGATTGGGATTGTGCATTGTAAAGTGGTTGCCGTGGCTCCATCTCAACCCGCCTCTCTCCTGTCCATATTGATTGTGGCTTAGAACTGATCCGACAGCAGGTCGCATATCTCCCGGGTCACTGTCTCCTTGCTGGCACGAATGGTCAGCCGGAACATCTGCAGAAGGAAAGAAAAATGGTAAATCAATATGGAAAAGTTGATATAATACCTAAACTAATATATTTAAAAATTGATTTGAATTTATTGAATTGAAAAACTGGACTCACCTGAGCTTGCTTATTTGGCTCCAATCGCAGCAGGCAGCCCACCTGTTGGGATTGCGTATGAATGATGCCCGCACAGACCATGTTGTCCGGATTGGGATCCACCTGATCTAACAGCTGCATGCCAAAGCCCATCAGCTTGTTGCGGGCGCCAGGCAAATCCAGTGGCTGCGCCGCCTTGAACACTTTCTGTGACCGTTGTTGTTCCCTGAAAACAATGAATTGTTAGAAATGAGTATCTTGAAGGTATTTGTAGGTAATTTACCCGCTCAGATTCTTCCATCGGGCAAAGAAGGACTCGGCATTCATCTCGGTTGGCTCAAAGAACTTGTTAACGCTCAGTGGCAGCTTGATGCTGAACTTCTGCTGGGTGCCATTGTAGCGGAAACTGATCTCAATGGTCGGCGCATCGGCATAGTCTTCGATGCATTCCGCGGTGAGTAGCTGTTGGATCTGGGCACCGGCCTCCAGGGTCGGTTCCACAGCCTTCATTTGCACATTCAACTTGAGCGCATCCTCGGCGGACCATTGCAACACCGGGTTGAAGTTCTAAGAGACCAAAGGTACATTAAAAGGATACATAATTTATTAATCATAGCTCCACTCACCGTTAGGGGAACCTGTGTCTTGTTGCCATAGAACAGTCCCAATCGTCCTAGATTCTGGCGGAACTCGCTCTTCACCCCGATCTGCAGCATTTCGTTCTCGAAGAGAACTCCATTATTCTTGAACAAAACTTCTTGGTGTTGTACACGGCACTCGAATTGTTGTTGCCGCCGCCGTATATATCCCCAAGGACATCGATGAGGGTGCTGTTGCCGCCACTCCCGCCGATATTATTCGAAGGCGGAGTACTCAGCCCAAGGAGATCTGTATTCGCATTGCTGTTATTCAACTTGCTGTGCGAATTGTTCACGTGCACATTGTTCTGCGTGACAGACGGCGGAGCCGGACTCTTCGACTCACGGATCTCGTTCTCCGGCACCCGACCGGGCTTCTTCTTTTTCAACACCGACAGTATGGAGCTCTCTCGTTCGGGGAACGATGGCATCTCCTCTAGGACGGTGGCCAACACATCGGTCGAGGCTACAATGCTCAGTTGTAGATATTCGCTGGCTCGCTGTTGCAACTCGGCGTCGGCTGACCGAAGGTTGCTGTGCTGACGGAACACATCCTGGATGTTGGTGCGAATCTCCGGAAACAGATTAATGAACTTGATGTACGTGGAGAGGAGCAGTGCTCGGGTCATGGGGGAGCACAGATGATACTTGGAGTGCAGTAGTTTGAATTGCACCAGCGGTGCCGAACGGGAATCGCCGGCGATAAGATTACCGAATTCTCCCAGAATATAGCCACCCACTTTGACCATATTCTCGTGACAAGCGGGCGCCTGCAGGGCCTCGAAAACGGTCTTGGCGGCATAACCTTGTACCTCCTCGCGGTTAATCACGATCTGGATGACGCGATACCACACTTCCTCCGAAACATAGTCGCCGGCAATGCGTATAAGATTGAGGATAACATCCACGTACCTAGAGTTGACGGAATAATAAAAGATCTGCCTCAATCTTTGAAATTATATACTTACCAAGTATAATCCGTGGCGTACTTCTCGGCAAGAATGGCCACCTTGAGCACCATTTCCTCGCGTATCGAGTAGTCGGCCGTCTCCAGATAGTTAAGCATCTCCTGTACAATTTCCTCGGCATTGCCACGATCACACATGGCATACAAAAGATCAACTGCCATCTGACGCACGGAGACATCCTTCTCCATCTTCATCGACAGGATGACCACCTCCTGATGCTTCTTTACCTCCTCGTGCGAGAACTCCGATGTGGCCAGGTGGCACATGGACTCCAGAGCCAAATAACGCAAATTGGTCTCCCTGTTGCTGAGGAACTGACCCAACTGGTTGCAGGCGCGCACCAAGAGATTCGGCTCGCTGTCGCTGTGTATGATCAAATTGATGGCCTCGAACAGTACAGCGTTCTTGGCGTTCGAATGCTGCACCTTCTTGCTCTTTGGCGGCTCCTGGGCCTTGTTCAAAATGGTCTCCAGTGTTTCATTCAAGCGAGCACGAACGCCCGCCTCCTCGGTTACCGGATTGTAATTCTGCAGCAGGCGAAGAAGCTTCACCGAAAGCCAGGGAGCCGGCACGAAATAGTAAGTGTAGTCCTAAAGATATAATAATTCAATTAAACATTTTATTTTTTAAATCTATATCTCAAAAATCCCACCTGCAAATCCGTGTAACTGGCCGTCACAATTCTGGATAAACGAGATACCGCCAAATTTACACAACCCTTGTACTCGTCCGGATTGCGCTTCACCAAGGCGTCGATCAGCGAGGTGGCCGCTGTCACCACTCCCATATGCTGATCGTTGAGCAAATGGATAATGCGTGAGGTCCATTCGCCGCCCGGTATAATGTCCGGCGAGGAGCGGAACAAACGCAGCAGACACAGCGCCGCCGACTGCTTCACCACGTCCATGGTGTCGCCCGAGACGAGTAGCTTGGGTATCTCATTGGAAAAGGACTCGGCCATGTCGCGGCTGCCGATATTGGCGATACACTGGAGCGCCAGGTTGACATGCACGGGATTCCGCGACTGCAAGTCATTCTTGATCGATTGAATGATCAGCCGGATGAGGTCGCTATTCGTGTTAACCAGCACCGAGATGAACAGGTAACCCTGGAAATAAAATAAGGGACAAGGGTTAATATTATATCAAAAATATCGTAAACATTGAATTATTTAACTTTTGGATATAAGAATATTGCATTTTAGATAAAATATTGAAATTATCGGGAATTATTGAATATTTAAATTTAAATTCTAGAATGACTAACTGGTTTTCTTTAACATTTCCAGCATATTAAATGCGGAGTTAATCGATCAAAAGGTTGTGCAAGTATTTTCTTTATATTCAATATCAACTTTTTCAAATTATTCCTTTAGATTTCTCCATATATTTTGTTTACAACAAATTCCTACACAATTGTTTGTTAAAGTCCCCTCTCTTTGCAGTTCAATTATTTTCCCTTTCTCGATTAATAGTTAAATGGTTATTGAGGCACTCACGATCTGCTTCTCTGAGTATTTGTTGGAGGACAGCAGGTTGACCGCCTCCATGTGGCCAAAGTCGATGTCGTGGCCGAGGAGAAAGATGAAGAGCAGCTTGCAGACATACTTCTTCTTCTGGTAACCGTCCAGGGTTTTGTCTCCTTTAAATTTGCTCCTTATGTTGGCCAACTCCTTGTTTATACGTTTGACCTCCGCCTCTTTGCTTTTACCTGTGGAAAAGTGGTTGAAATCGAAAATTAGTATGGTGTTGTGGAAATGGGGTCAAGGTCATAAAAGGAGAATTCACAGTAAAATAGTAGAGTTCCGTCGACGGAAGCCTCGCTTTCTTTTCCGCCGCATGATGATTGATCGGTGATGGGAGTGATGGAGAGCCGCTGACTTCTTTGCACTCTTTGCCTGCCTGCATGGTGCGGCTTTTCTCTCCTCGGGTTCACACTCTCTCTCTTTTCGGCGGCGGTCACATAGGCGCCAATTAGTACCAGTCACCGATCCGCGGCGGCGAAGCCTATAGCTCTCCCAGATATGCTGTTCCCGAAACCAGTAACTAGTGACCAGCAAACGGCAAACACTGGCGATACGATAATGCGACAACACAGTGAAGCGTCGGGTAAACAATTGTGCTGCTCACTAACACATAGAAGTACCTACAGTACTCGCCTAATACAGGGGAAAGTAGAGTATTATCTAAGCTTGAAAGTTGAAAAGAAAAATTGGTCTAGAAAAGCTATGATAAATATGAAGTAGTTTTTAAAAATTTAAAGAAATTCTAAACTATAAGTAATTGTTATTCAACACAATCCTTCACTGTACTTGGTGCTTAGTGCCGCCCCGCTTTTATTGTGAGTGCCTCTGCTCCTGGTAATTGATCAAGAAATGGCGCTGATTCCGCCCCTATGGAAAATCTCTTGTGAGCGACGTAGCGCTCAATTGGATTTAATGCTGGTTACGGGGTTACCCAAAAGCTTCTTCAAAAAGAGATCTGCACTTACAGTTCCTTATATCCGATATAAAGACGGCCAGGCCTCTCATGCCATCCCCCCGCACCGGCGCCATGGTAGTTAGCTTGTTAATTTTCGCTGGTTTTATGCAAACTGGGGGCGCAAGAAAATCGTCGATGGGAGGCGGCCGAGTCTCGAGGCGTTCTTATCGCTCGAACTCGACGTTGGATCTTCTCTGTTGCTCTCTCTCTGTGTCGCTTCTGGATCACTCTCTTTCTATGGGTCTCTTCGTGACTCTTTTTGCGGACCTGAAAAAGGGCTGGAAGAGAGGGAAATTTGATTAATTGTGGGATTTAGTTATTGAATGGTTTTATTGATCGATTGAAGGTGGTTTTCTTTTAATAAAGTGGGTAACACACTAAGGCTTTAACAAGAATAATGTAATTTAAGCATATAGCACTGAGTTAAACTTCAGATATTTAAACAATTCCTTTGAAATTGTAAACGGCAACTGTAGTTTAGGATTATCAAGTATCAAGACCATGATTCATGAATCTTTTGGAATGTTTATAAAAGTAATACTGCTTATAAATATATATGTTTGAACAGTCCGAGTAAATCTTATCAATATTTATCGGTTCTCCGTTAATAAAAAAAGCTTTACAACCGTTTTATCCAATCAATTGAAGTCTAGTTGTTTTTGTTTCAGTGCATCTAGCGAACTGCTTTAAGCGAACTTTGACATTTTTGAACGGGAAAAACAAAGGGGATGGGGGGAAGGGAACTCCCCCGCAGTTTTGGCAACCGATTTATTTGCAACTTGGCAGCGCTTGCTTGCACGCTGATAAAGATTCATTCCCCGACCTCGCTCGCCACTTTTTATCGCTTCGCGCTGGCCGTTGTGCACTTGTGCCCTTATATTATATTTTTATTTTGACCACCGGCTTCTGTTGCGATTTCGGTTTCCGTTTCGGTTGCGCTTTATGTTCTGTTTTCTGTGTTTTTTATTTCGCTCTTTGTGCGCCCGTTCTTGCTTTCATGTCACGTCACTTTTTTTCTCTCCGCTGGATGACGAAGGCGTTTCGCCAAAAACCCCAAGCGGAGCCACCGAAACAAACATTAATGGGCGTATTGTGGATTTCGGGGGAGCTTACTTTGCTTTTTTCACTCGAAGCACCAGCAGCAGCAGCAGGGGAAAATCGTTGGCGTTCCGGAATTCCTGAGGCAGAGAGGAGATCGGAGTTTTGCGGAGCGAGCGCTTGGCTTGGGCTTCGCCTACGGGGTGTTGGCTGGCGGAATGTGTGGATCGCTGGACTGAACTTTATGTAACTCCACCTGGCAGACGCTTCGCCTTGCTGTTCGCCTCGGATTTGTTGTTAACTATTGCCGAACGCAGAGCAATTCACGAAAATGAAAATTTCTATTGATTTTTCTTCTCTCTGGCTGCCTGTGTGTGGAGCCATCTAGCGGACGCGAGTATAGCGAATAGTGTGGTCGAAGTGAAGGCGAAGCAAGAATACCGCGAAAACCAGGGGTTTTTGGTCTGACGGCGTCAGGGCTGGGTTAGATTTTAAGGTGGGATTCATTGCGTAGTGAGGTCACAGGGAATAATCAGTTTTGTTGACTGTATATGTACAATTTTCTATATGTTTTATGTTTTTAAAAATTAAGGACAAACTAATTTAAGTCTATAGACGGTTCCATGACATATAATTTATGAAGTTTTTCAAACAAATGTTTCCATTATGCATACATACCATACTTACAGCTTCACAATTTACGATTTTCATTAAATTAAATTCGAAATTCTGAAATATAAAAATATATGCAAATATTTGGAAAAAACATGATATATCATTAATACAATTTTGAATATATTAAACAAATGTTTTCATTTTTCATAACTTTATTTACAGATTTACAATTAACGATTGTAAATTCGTCCGATTTTCATAAAATTAAATCCAAATTCTGAAATATTAAAAAACTAAATGCAAATATTTTGAAAAACATCAGTTATTTAATTTGTTATAAATTCTGTATTGTTCCTAAGGAAAGTATATAATCATCATCATAATAATTAAATATTCATAATATTAAAACCGATATTTCTAAACAAAAGAAAATGACAATATTTAAAATAGATGAAAATATATTAAAAACTGTAAAAGTTATAATTTGATATTTAAAATTTTCCTATCGTTGCTATGGTAGCTATTTTATAATTTTTTAAAATAATTTTTCGATTGTTTTTTTTTCTGGCAGCTATTCGATATAGATGTTAAATTATAACAGAAACTTAAGATAAGTACAAAATGGCTATATTTTAAATTAGAAATTGATAACTGAAATAGTTATAATTTTTTCTCAAAATTTTGCGATGTATGTTATGGAGTCGGAAAAGTCTCCTTCACTGCATTGAAAACATCTGACTATATTTATAAAACCCTGCAAAGGTTAAAAAATGTGTTATTTTATTAGTAAGCATATTAGCATGCTAGTTGTTTATTAAAATAATATTATTCAGATGTTAATTGTATTAACCACGCTTTGTGACGTCACTGGTCTCGCTCACAAAATGCCGCTGTGCACCACCTCGCTCACGCGACACCCTGCGGTTACTCCGCCATTTTTTTGCGCGTTTCAGAAACGCGTTTTTATTTGTGGAAAAAAATATGTAAAATGCTCTTGCGGCAAGCAGCGAACAGATTTAGCAAAGCAGGATAAACCCCACCGACGATCCGCGACCAGGAGCATCTCCAGTTTCCAGCGAGGGCCAGCGGGACAGTGCCAGCGAGAGAGCGTGCCTGATGCAGACGCATGTGTTACGCAGCAGCAGAGTTTAATTATCGCACCGCAAAACAATAATTGGCATTGAAAGACTGGATATTGGAGAGTGAGAGTGAGCGAGCGAGGAGGAGTCAACCACCGGCAGCCATGAGTTTTTCCAGCGACGAGGTGAACTTCCTGGTTTACCGATACCTGCAGGAGTCGGGTGCGTACGGACGATAACACACACAGAGCCCGCCTTAATAATGGTTGCTTTTCGCTTTTACAGGCTTCCTGCATTCGGCCTATGTGTTTGGCATCGAGTCGCACATCTCGCAGAGCAATATTAATGGAGCGCTAGTGCCGCCCGCAGCCCTCCTCACCATACTGCAGAAGGGCCTCCTGTACACGGAGGTGGAGTGGAGTGTGGGCGAGGATGGTGAGGTGGCGCGACCCATCGAGGGACTGTCTCTGATTGACGCCGTTATGCCGGAAGTGAAACCGCCGAAGCCCATTATCAAAACGGAGCCGGGCAAACCGGGGGCAGTGGACTCCTCGGCCCCTGCCGGTGCCAGCAACAACAACAGTAACGCCAAGCCCGATATAAAAATTGAGCCTGGAACAGGGGCAACAGGCGCTGGAGCTGGTAACAAGTCCGGTACGGGCAGCACCACGGGCACCAGTACGCCCACGGATCAGAATAATAGTGAAGTTGACTCCAGTGGGAACACGGCAAACAGCACGGGAGCTGCATCATACACTGGAAACAATGGAGCCGGAGGCAATCAAGCGACACCTGCCGGAGGCAATAACACAGGTACACCGGCTTCCGGAGCGGATGCTGCGACCACAGCGGCAGGTCAAAAGAAAGCCCAGAACTCCAATGAGCCGGGAAGCTCGTCCGGCGGCAGTGCTGGCAACGCGAATGCTACCAGCACCGATGACGCGGCATCTTCCACATCGACAAACGGCAATAGCAGCACCTCCAGCAGCGTAGAGCAACCCTCAAGTGGGGTGGCACCTACTGGCGGCGCTGTCTCCACCTCAAATCCAGACTCTGCAGCAGCGGGCGGAGCATCGGCAGCGGCAGGAGCCAAGGCATCCAGCGGAGCGGTTACGATTCGAGTGGGAGCTCAAGGAAACAACGTCCAAGCGGGTTCAACGTCTGCACAAAATTCGGCGCCCAGTGGAACAATCTCGTCGTCCACCGGTGGCGGTGGTGGCGGCGGCAGCGCAGGAGCCCCCGAAGCCCTTGTGCCCATGGATATCGACGTAAGCATTGAGATTCCCGACTCTAAGGCTCGAGTGTTGCGAGGCCACGAGAGCGAGGTGTTTATCTGCGCCTGGAATCCGAGCAGGGATCTCTTGGCCAGTGGATCCGGGGATAGCACTGCCAGAATATGGGATATGTCCGATGCCAACACCAATTCTAACCAGCTTGTGCTGCGGCATTGCATTCAGAAAGGCGGCGCCGAGGTTCCCAGCAATAAGGACGTCACATCTCTGGACTGGAACTGCGATGGCTCTTTGCTAGCGACCGGAAGCTATGACGGCTATGCTCGGATTTGGAAAACGGACGGACGACTGGCCTCCACTTTGGGGCAGCACAAGGGTCCGATCTTTGCGCTGAAATGGAACAAATGTGGCAATTACATCCTCTCCGCGGGCGTGGACAAGACAACGATCATCTGGGACGCATCCACGGGCCAGTGCACACAGCAGTTTGCCTTCCACAGTGCTCCGGCTCTGGACGTTGACTGGCAGACGAATCAGGCGTTCGCCTCTTGCAGTACCGATCAGCGGATCCACGTCTGCCGGCTGGGAGTGAATGAGCCCATCAAGACCTTCAAGGGACACACGAATGAGGTGAATGCGATTAAGTGGTGTCCACAGGGTCAGCTGCTTGCGTCTTGTTCCGACGACATGACTCTGAAGATCTGGAGCATGAACAGAGATCGTTGCTGTCACGACCTGCAGGCGCACTCCAAGGAGATTTATACGATAAAATGGTCACCCACAGGACCCGGTACCAATAATCCCAACACGAACCTAATCCTCGCCTCGGCGTCTTTCGATTCCACGGTGCGGCTGTGGGACGTGGAAAGGGGCAGCTGTATTCACACGCTGACCAAGCACACGGAACCGGTCTACTCGGTGGCCTTCAGTCCGGATGGAAAGCACTTGGCCTCCGGCAGCTTTGACAAGTGCGTGCACATTGGAGCACGCAGACTGGACAGTTGGTGCACAGTTACAAGGGCACCGGCGGTATCTTCGAGGTCTGCTGGAACTCCAAGGGAACCAAGGTCGGAGCAAGTGCCTCCGATGGCAGTGTTTTCGTCCTGGATCTGCGAAAGTTCTGATCGCAGGCGGAGAAGCTTGGCTTCGTCTACTGAGAAAACGCTTCTATGGGCCCGAAGGTTACCTTTTAAACTTAGAAAGTGAACACCGGGCTATATGTAACTTCTTTCTAAGCTATCCCGCCCTAGCAATCTGTATTTGTATCTGCTTTAAGTTCTAATTAGCTTTTTAAGGTTATATATTCTCGCTTTTTCTCCACTGTCTTTTTCGTACGCTTAGTCCCCCGAGTCACACAAAAACAAAAAAGAACGAAATGCCCCAAGGATTTCGAGGGCTCCAACTTGGTTGTTGTCCTCCTTCGATCTGCGGGACGCTGCTCGCTGCTCTTTTTAAACTTAATTATAAGCTCTATGTTTCTAAGGATATGTCCCCCTTTTTTATACAGAAATCGTTTAGTATAACTTTATGCATTTTGTTATTGTGTCGAGTCGATCGAGATGATGCCAATTACCTTAATTACCCGTATCCCTCTATATTTCCCTCCGCTCCCGTTTTTCCCGTAGGCCGGAGGGATATCAATTCAGATCTGATCGGACCGATTCACGCATACATTCAAACAGTGTAACTGCATCCCACGTAGCCTGTAAACGAACGTAAGCCTAAGAATTATTAAGAACACGAGATTGGCGAAAACATACGAAAACAACAGCAAAATCCATTAAAGCTAAAATTTAATTGGAGTCTTTTCTTTTATAGGGATCTTGTAAAGGTCAAACTTCTAAGACCAAGAACTAATAGAGAAGTCTTAGCTCTTTTTATTTTAATTTTGGTATTGGGAGTTATAGAAACCATATTTAAACTTAGTTGACAAAAATCTATATTTATTTTTCTAATCTAAATTTTTAAATAACTTAAAAATCCATGACATTTCCCAGATGTCTTTGCTTAAAGAAGCGGCTCTCCTCGCGAATAACCTCTCCCGATTTGGTGGTGCCCTTAAAGAACTTGGTGAGTTTTGTACCGGCGTACTTGGGCTTCTCGGTGTCCGGCTCATCGAATTCCATGTTGTAGGCTTTATCAGCCAACGCATTCTCCGCCGTGGACCAACTAAAACGTACCAGTCGAGGGAATCCAAAGACCAGATCGATATGCTCCGCCAGGAACCGCTTTGTGACAGGATCTCCCGGGTAACCGCTGCCAAAGGCATTGTCTTTGATCACCAGACCCTCGGGGAACTTCCACACTTTGAGAGCATGATCACGGGTGACCTTGGCACAGATACTAGCCGCCGAGACAATGGGATAGGTGGAATCGGCTTTTTTGGCCACCGTAATCTTAAAGTTGGGAAAGCGCTTCAGCAGCTTCTCCTGGTATTTCTCCGGTGGACCCACCGTATCCACATAGACCTCGGCTATATTGATGCCCGCGTCGATCGCCTGTTGGATCAAGCCCATTGCAGAGTCCATAGAAACCTCGTTCAGGGAGCACTTGGACCGCCGGTACATGCTGGTGCTGATGGTATTTGGCGATATAATCTCCACGGCCCAGCCGATGCAGCTGTTGGCATAATCCTTGGTATTGATGTCGTTGAATATAACATCGCGCTTCTCTTCGGTCAGTTGTTTGGAGTCGGCGCATCCCAGATCTTCGAGAGCCTTCTTGCTGTCCAGCGGGCAGTAGGAGATTCCGTATACCATGGGGCCGAGGACAGGACCACGCCCAGCCTCATCGACGCCCAGCATGCAGGGTTTATCTTTACAGACATCCGGTACATCGCTGAGGTAAACAGTATTCCGGCTGTTCTCTTTTCCGGCTATGAACGGTCCCAGGGACTTCAAGGAGGTGATTTTGCTGGTCTCCTTTAAGTCCTCGTCGACCTCATTTTCATCCTTTTCTATTTCATCTTCAGCTATAGTTTGATTTTCTTTTTTAATTTCTATATCTTCGTGGTCGGACGTCATTGCGCGCTTTTTATTGTTTACTTTTTGGTGAAAGAACGGTCACTCTATAGTTCATATCGATATTCTCAAAGCATTTAATAATACTGCGACATGGGCTATCGATCGGCATCGATTATTTTATCAAAAACTAATTTTGTCATCTAATCATTTTTATACGAATGTAGTTTTGATAGTTTATTAAATAAGTCAAAGAGTGTCTTTGTGATCATGGAGATTCTGGAGGCCCGTGTGTTGCAAGGCCACAAGAGCGATGTGTTCACCTGTGCCTGGAGTCCGAGCAGGGATAACTTGGCCAGTGGCTCAGGAGACAGCACTGCCAGGATATGGGACATGTCCGATGCAGACACCAACTCCAATCACCACGTCCTACGCCATTGCATCCAGGAAGGTGGCGTCGAGGTCTCCAGTAACAAGGATGTAACGTCCCTGGACTGGAACGTATGTGGAAGATACTCTTATCCTATGACTCATTCCGTCAGTAAAAGTTTATACCTTTTTAATAGTGCGATGGTTCCCTGCTAGCGACTGGAGGTCATGATGGATTAGCCAGGATTTGGAAGGCAGACGGTCAACTCGTCTCCACTTTAAGTCAACACAACGGTCCCATCTTCGCGTTGAAGTGGAACAAAGGCGGGAAGTACATTCTCACCGCGGGCGTAGACAAGACAACGATCATCTGGGACGCATCTATCGGCCAGTGCACACAGCAGTTTGCTTTCCACATTGGCCCCGTCCTGGATATTGACTGGCAGACAAATGAAACTTTCGCATCTTGCAGCACAGATCAGCGGATTCACATCTGCCGGCTCGGAGTGAAGGAGCCAATCAAGACCTTCAAGGGACACACAGATGAGGTGAATGCGATCAAATGGTGTCCACAGGGTCAGCTGCTGGCGTCTTGTTCCGACGACATGACCATTAAGATCTGGAGTATGGACATAGATAACTACTGCCACGATTTGCGCGGGCACTCTAAACCCATTTACACAATTGAGTGGTCTACAAATCTGATCCTTGCCTCGGCCTCTTTTGACTCCACGGTGCGGCTTTGGGACGTGAAACAGGGCAGTTGTATTCACACGCTGAGCATGCACACTGAGCCAGTCTACTCGGTGGCCTTCACTCCAGATGGCGAGTACTTGGCCTCCGGCAGCTTTGACAAGTTCGTGCACATCTGGAGCACGCAGACTGGACAGCTCATGCACAGCTACAAGGGCACTGGCGGTATCTTCGAAGTCTGCTGGAACTCCAAGGGTACTAAGGTGGGAGCTGGTGCCACCGACGGCAGTATTTTCGTCCTGGATCTGGGGAGCATCTGGCGGCGAAAACCACATCACTAACTTCATTAACGATTAAAACCTATTGACTCAAAGCATCTATAGATTGTAGAATCCAATCTTTGAGATAGAACACACTAGTAGAGATCGAAGGACCATTGCAATTACTATTACTTGCTGAGACAACTCCCACAAGTTCTCGGTCAATGACCAAAGGGGCTCCAGAATCTCCGTCGCATATTCCGGGCATAGCGCAAATGCTATTTTCCGGAACAGGATCCTCATAGAAGTTCTCACAATACTCAAGGGATAGCACTTCTAGATTGATGCCCTGCAGAAATTCAGGAACTATGAAAGACGAGTCCGAGTTAAATCCAGTAACGCCCCAGCCCGTGGCAGAGGCAATGGTTCCAGGAGCAGGATGCTTGTTGACCAAAGCGATTGGATGCACTGTGTCGCTAAGGACGAGAGGTTTTTCCAATCGTAGGACGGCAATATCATTTTCGGACGAATCTATTGTATAATTCGGATAGGAAATTTTGGCTTGTACTTGGAAAACAGTTCCGTTTGATCTTGCTGTGGATCCAACACTAACTGACAAATTATTAATTCGATATTTTGTACCGTTCTCAAAACAGAGGCAATGCGCAGCAGTGATAATGATCGTCTTGCTGTATATGGAGCCACTACATATATGGACTCCCTCATGCCGCAAGGACGCCTGCCAGGGAGCCTTGTCGATTTCAATGCGTTCTCCGCCGACAATGTGATTTTCAGACGTGGGCACAACTGCGGATAGGAATTGCGCTGCCAAGAGCAGAAGGAGGCTGTGGATGAGCATTTTCTGAGTGAACTAGGAATTTGGGAATCTACAGCGATTTATCTGGCATTCTCGTAATTGTACATACTAAAAACATGGCTTCAAGACAAATAAGTAAAGGAAACTTGATTTTCTTTTAAATAACGTATCCCGGGCTTTCTATGCGATTTGTTTAGTTGGTTACACTATTCAAAATTGCACAAAATCGATGTATCGATAGTGCGCGGATATCGCCAACTGTTTGGGATATTTGAGGCGTTAGGGACTTAGGGATTTTTTCATGTGGCAACACTGCTCTGCGAAATCATCTCTTTCCGGTTTAGGATTTTAACCAGCGTGCTTGTTCTCTTTCCGAGCTAAGGCCATTTGTTAAAAACAAATTAATTTTTGGCAACTTGCACAATCAGTAATTAGCCACAGCACTTCGACATGTCCACCAAAGCCGAGCTCGCCTGCGTCTACGCCTCCCTCATCCTGGTCGATGATGATGTCGCCGTCACTGTGAGTGTATTTTTGTGCGTCTGCAAATCCTTCGAAGTTTTGGCCATCGCGCCAAATTGCTGAATGATTTGCAGCTGCCACAACTCCCACGAAGCCCTAGGAACGTGTGCTAATAATATTTTTCGGTTTCCCGCGTTCGCAGGGCGAGAAAATCAACACCATCCTGAAGGCCGCCAACGTTGAGGTGGAGCCCTACTGGCCCGGCCTCTTCGCCAAGGCCCTGGAGGGCATCAACGTCAAGGACCTGATCACCAACATCGGCTCCGGAGTTGGTGCCGCCCCGCCGGCGGAGCTGCTCCCGCTGCTGCTGCTGCCGCTCCAGCCGCCGAGGCCAAGAAGGAGGACAAGAAGAAGGAGGAGGAGTCCGATCAGTCCGACGACGACATGGGCTTCGGTCTGTTCGATTAAGCGGGGATATGGAAAGACTGGGCCTAGGCCCTCATCCACATTACGACCTGACATCCGTTGTGCTTGTGATCTAATCCTCTCGGTGGACGTGTTTTCGTGTTTTTTCCGAACTGCGTACACGTTTTAATGTACAAAACTCGAGGAAATATAGAAAACGTTTGCTATGAAACAGTAGAAGCGGAATGATTAACTGTGTGGTGCAGTGGGGGTTTTATTTTCAGTGATTGTGTGACTTGTTTTGCTGGAGATTTATACCAAGGAGTCGCCGGAGCTTGCCCTATAAATCTTTATATCCTGGCAGTACAATATTAAGTAGTACATTAAATCAAGCTTATTGGACATAACAAAATTCTGTACAAAGGCCCATGGAAACAATGGACATTTACAAAAACTGTTACACAGTTACTTGTGTTTATTTGTTGACAAAAAGATCTCCTCGTTGATAACCTTGGCCAGGGCTCGCAGATGGGGTCCATCGATTTGCTTCAGGCCCAGTGCCATCTCGATTTGCGTTGGACATTCATTGAGCTCCGTTTTGTTGATCAGAAATTGTATGGCGCTGCGGATTTCGTCCGTGTCCAGGCCCAGGCGCACCGTCATCGTAATGGGCACCGACCTGTGAAACTCTGGATTGTCATAGGGATTCTGCATGGAGGGCAGAATCCGCTTCTGCCGCTCCACATCGAACTGCACGTTGTAAATGCCGGGCATCTTGCCGAATTGTGTGGCCAGCAGAAACCATTTGTTGCCGAAGCGCTGGAAAACAATCTCTGTGGGCACGCCGTTTACGTTCGTGGCAAACTGCTTCTCAAAGCCGATTTCACGTGGTTTTTCGACGGATGTAGTCATTTTTTTTTAGATAATTTAATAAAAATTGTTTCAATTTTGATTTGTTTTGATGAGACAGCAGTCGGTGTAACCAGATCTATATTTTGAAGAATGCTATAAATTGAGTATGGAAGTTACAAAAACATCGATCTCACTATCGATACTGTCTACAGATTGTGCGTGTTTCCCTATTTCCGCCAGAGGGTGCTAGTAAATATTTCTGTGCTCCATTAATTAGTATTTTGCATTTATCGTTTCCGATTGTTTTTCCTATAGTATTTAAAATTGAAAAACCGTGAAGAAAATTTAAAATTTACCAAAGGGGGGATAAAAATGAACAAAATAAATAGAAATTATCTTGGAATGCATAAAATTTAAATCTACTCTCTCTAAATTTCTTGGTTACCAAGGTGACTTGCATCTGTTTAATCAATATATAAAGTCAAAAACAACCATGACCTCCTGCATTTGTTTGGGCCCCAAAAGGGCAGGGAAAACTCATCTCTTAAAGGCTCTGCAGGACCCAGATTCCATCGATGAGACAAGCTATTCCATGCCCACCATTGGGACAGGCATCTACCGCATCCATTTCCCCACCAAGTCACCAAATGGCGACAAGCCCAGGCCTCCGCCTCCACCCACCGATGGAGCTGCCCAGGTTAACATTCCGCACGGCGGAAAGAATCTGCCCAAGTCCATACAGATCCTGGAAATTGGCGGCAGTATGGCGCCATTATGGAGACAGTACTTCGAGGATGTCAAGAAGCTCATCTATGTGGTGGACACTTCGAATCTCTGCCAGATTTCCGCTGCCGGTGTTTTGTTCTACTCGATTCTTACCGAACCCCGGCTGCAGAAGGTCAAGATCCTGTTGGTTCTGGCCAAAATGGACTATTCCTACCGTCAGATGAGGAATGAAGCTCTGCTGATGCTGCAGATGTCCAAGCTGCAGAAGCAAATCCGTCAGCAGGTGACCATTGTGGAAGCCAGTGCGGTAACCAAGGTGGGTCTTGATCCCATCTACGACTGGCTGCAGAGGCCTTAGACGACAAACTAATTATAATATAAAGGGCATTTAAATAAATTAAAACAAGAAGGGAATCAAATTTCGGCACGCTGAAGTTCGTATACCCTTGCAGATTGAAATTCGATCACTTGAAAATAATATAATATAAATTATCAATACTTATGTTAAAAACAATAAAGTAATGCCTGCTTTCTTTTCATGCACCTATACATTTTATATTAACTGTTTTACATTCACATTCTTGCACTTTCCTCTATATACATATAACGATCGTTTGGATGACAGCTATATGATATAGTAGTCCGGTTTTCATAACATTTTACACAAAATTAGATTAGATTAATATATAATGGCTAATATTAAAGTTAATGAAAACATGTTGAAAACTGGACAAGCTATAATTTATAAAAATTTCCGATCGTTCCTATAGCAGCTATATATATATAGATATATAGTCGACCGATTCACCATGCTCCGACTTATATACAAGTAAAATTATATAGAAGAATAACTCCATAGTTTCATAGCTTGGTCTTAAATTTGTTCCAAAACAAATCTCGCACATCTGTGCATATGATTCTCAACTGGTTCTAACATCCCCGGAACGAAGTGACTGCTCAAGCCATGTCTAGAAATGTGTTGTGTTACAAAAGTTGCAAGTCATTGTTTATTAGTGTTCAAAGTTAGTAACTGATTATACTTACTTACTGGTCATAGATACTTACTGGTCGTAAATACTTATCATTATAGTTACTTACTGGTATAGATACTTATGGTTATAGATACTTACTGCTCAGAGTTAATTACTGATCATAGTTATGCTTGCTCTTAAATTTGTTTCAAAACAAATCTAGCACATTTGTGCATATGATTCTCAACTGGTTCTAACATCCCCGGAACGAAGTGACTTCTGCCGACCAAGTCTCAGATATGTGTTGTGTTACAAAAGTTGCAAGTCATTGTTTATTAGTGTTTAAAGTTAGTAACTGATCATACTTACTTACTGGTCATAGGTAATTACTGATCTTAGTTACTTATGGTCATAGATACTTGCTGTTCAGCGTTACTTACTGCTTATAATTAATTACTGTTGAAAGATATGTTTGATCCTCTACATTTAACAATCATTATTTAAACATATTAAAATTGGTTGGCAAAGATTTTTGAACCGTATTTTAAATTTCAAGTGACTTTTTATAAGCCCTTAGACCTTTCCTATAACTATAATATTATCAAACCCAAAAGTACCTTTTCTTATCTCACAAAAAAAAGAAATTTTTGTATTTAAAAGGTGCTTCCGCACAATTTTATTAAACAACAATATGCTGCCACCGAAATAGCAATTAACTTTTAACAAGTAAGAGCTCAAATTAGACTTAGAAACCCAGGTATATTCACAGGGTGGTCTCATCCAGATTGTCCCAACAGGGTGACTTCCAGCCCTGGGAACGGACAGGCGCAGTGCTTAGGCAATTAATGTTTTGGCCGTCGAAGGTATCCATGGCAATCACCTTTGCACAGACGGAAAAGACCCTTTCCCTGGCTTCGAGTACCTGCCACAGGCCAGTCGATATAGAGCCAGCAGCGGAGGAATCGGAATCCACAAATTAGGTGCCGTGCGGTGGAGAGGTAAGCTGGCGGAGGTACAAATTATGGGCATAGAAAAATTAGATGGCATGCAGACGAGAGACAAGAACCAAGAACCAAGAACCACCGAATCCCCCAAGGAGTGGAGAAGAAGGTGGAGAGAGCCGCAGGAAGCAGCAGCACATTCCTGATGCCGCTGGATTTCGGTCTCTGGCTTCGGTGATAAGGGGCGTGGATGGAGGGGCAGGGAGGGATGACACGCATCCGGTTTTAAAATTCCAGCGATTGAAGAAGCTCTGCAGAAGAGGCCGAAAAAGGAACCAAAACCCAAGGAATTCAAACACTTGGACAGCGGACAGAGAATACAGAATACACCACGAGAAAATTATGTCATAAGCTTTTAAACATATATGTAAAATGTTAAATAATCGATATGAGTTTCATATACTTGTAGATTTGTTTCTGTGCATAATTCTTGCGAAGGACGATGACGACGACAACAACGGTGGCGACACTGGAGTTGGACTACTTCAGGGCAGTGTCCCTCTACCGCCGCCGCTCCTACGAGAGATGTGCGGAGCTGTGCAACGCACTTCTGCAGGCCGGTCACGATGGTCATGTCCAACTGTTTGCCACCAAAGAGGAGGAGGAGGTGCAACAGCATCAGCAGCAGCAGCAGCAGGCGGAGCACGATGCCGGGCGCAACAGCAGATTCGGTAGCAATTTGCAACGCATTGGCCCCAGGCCCAGAGGAGTGGCAGGAGCCGGGCAAGATTCGGGAGCATCCATCATGATGCCCACTTGGCTGATGGAGGGCGTGTGGCAATTAAAGATGCGCGCCCTAACGCAGCGCGTCTACCTGGACGATCTGGAGGTGGACGATGCCGGGGATGAGGGTGAGTAACCAGAGGCTTTAATTGTTTAATGGATTTTTAACTTTGTGAAAATTTCTTGTTTTTTTTTTGTATGTATATTAATAATATTTATTAATTATTTTTTGTCCAGCCACCGAGGAAGTGGAGTTCGAGCGGATAGCGACGGCGGCTCGTCCTGGTAGCAGCATCAAGACCGCCTTTCAGCCACGTCCTCTTACCAGCCAAAGGCAGCAACTGGCAAAAAGCAGGGGCTCTGGTATAGCCCACTCCAGTGATGGTCGTTTGAATAGCTCCAGGCCAGGATCCGCGGCAGTGGCCCGGCCAGGGACGAGTCTTAGTCGTCCAGGATCCTCGTTGGGAGGCGGCGGAGCACGACCAGCCTCACGGTGTGGCACCGCCTCCCGAGTCCGGGCCACGTCTGCAGCCGCATTCAATGTGGGTGATGCCACCTCCAAGTTGTACCAGGCATCTCGTCTAAATCCTACGATTTATGCGGAAAGGGAGACACTGGTGAAGGCCCTGTTCCAGTTCCTTTACTACCACGAGGCCGATGTCCAGAAGGCTCACTCACTCTGCCAGGCGGTGATGGAAGTACAGCGGCAGAAGCCCGGTGGAGCCGGTAGTGGAGCCTCATCCTTCTCCTGGTGGTGGCAACAGCAAATGGGCAGATGCTTATTAGCTTTGCATTATCCAAGGAAAGCGGAACCCTTTTTACAGCAATCCCTGGCAACTTTCCACATCCGGATACATATCTTCTCCTATCCCGACTCTATCAGAGATTAAAGCAACCGGAGAGGGCTCTAGTGCTAATCAGCGAAGCGGTGGACACTAGACCCTTTGATGTCACCTATCGTTTGGAGCAGGCGAGGATTCACCAGGCCATGGAGCAGCAGGAGGATGCTTTGCAGCTCTACAGGCTGGTGGCCAAGCTGCAACCCATAAATGTGGAGTCTTTGGCCAGCATTGCCGTGGGTTACTTCTACGATAATAATCCGGAAATGGCTTTGATGTATTACCGCAGGATTCTCTCCCTTGGAGCACACTCCTCGGAGCTGTACTGTAACATAGCCTTGTGCTGTCTCTATGGAGGTCAAATCGACTTGGTTCTGCCTTGTTTTCAAAGAGCCTTGGCCATGGCCACACAACCCGAGCAAAAGGCGGATATTTGGTACAATATAAGCTTTGTGGCGGTGGTAAGATTTGGTTTTAATTATTATTCAATTCGAAGTGAATTTTTATATTAATATTTATTATTTAGTAATTCGTTTCTTATAAATTTATATGTTATTACTGCAATGAATCCCACTATTTTACTTAACTTTGTCTTAGACCTCTGGTGACTTCAACCTGGCCAGAAGATGCCTCCAACTGTGCCTCACCTCGGATGCCCAAAACGGGGCAGCTCTCAATAACCTGGCTGTCCTGGCTGCCCAAGGTGGGGATGTTATGGGGGCCAAGTCCTATCTAAATGCAGCCAAGGATGTGATGCCTGAAGCCGAAGAGATAACCACCAATTTGCAGTTTATGGATGTGCACTATAAGCTATGAACTTGAAGTTTAATAAATCAAATTTAAGATACAACTATTAGAAAATAATTAAAGACGAAAATCAGGTGGATTGCACTTTAAAAACCCTTATAAAAACATGAAAGGACGCCAAAGTTTGTATACATATAAAATTTGATGAAAATCTGTTGAAAACTGTAAAAGTTATAATTATTTTTCTAAAAAATTTCCCGATCGTTCCTATAGCATCTATATATATGTAGATATATAGTCCACCGATTCGCCATGCTCCGAGATATATACCAGTAAAATTATATAGAGGAATAACTCCATAGTTCCATTGCTTGCTCTTAAATTTGTTTCAAAACAAATCTCGCTCATCTGTACATATGATTCTCAACTGGTTGTAGCATCCCCGGAACGAAGTGACTGCTCAAGCCATGTCTTAGAAATGTGTTGTGTTACAAAAGTTGCAAGTCATTGTTTATTAGTGTTCAAAGTTAGTAACTGATCATACTTACTTACTGGTCATGGATACTTACTGATCATAGTTACTTAATGCTCATGGAATTACTGTTCAGAGTTACTTAATGCTCATAGGTAATTACTGATCATAGTTACTTAATGCTCATAGTTAATCACTGATCATAGTTATGCTTGCTCTTAAATTTGTTCCAAAACAAATGTGCTCATCTGACATATGATTCTCAACTGGTTCTAACATCCCCGGAACGAAGTGACTGCTGCCGCCAGTCTAAAATGTGTTGTGTTAGAAAAGTTGCAAGTCATTGTTTATAGTGTTCAAAGTTAGTAACTGATCATACTTACTCACTGCTCATAGGTACTTACTGGTCATAGATACTTACTGCTCATAGGTAATTACTGATCATAGTTACTTATGCTCAAGTTAATTACTGATCATAGTTATGCTTGCTCTTAAATTTGTTTCAAAACAAATCTCGCTCATCTGTACATATGATTCTCAACTGGTTCTAGCATCCCCGGAACGAAGTGACTGCTTCAGACATGTCTTAGAAATGTGTTGTGTTACAAAAGTTGCAAGTCATTGTTTATTAGTGTTCAAAGTTAGTAACTGATATACATACTTACTGGTCATGGATACTTACTGGTCATAGTTACTTACTGGTCATCGACACTTACTGTTCAGAGTTACTTAATGCTCATAGGTAATTACTGATCATAGTTACTTAATGCTCATAGTTAATCACTGATCATAGTTATGCTTGCTCTTAAATTTGTTCCAAAACAAATCTGGCTCATCTGTACATATGATTCTCAACTGGTTCTAGCATCCCCGGAACGAAGTGACTGCTTCCAGCCATGTCTTAGAAATGTGTTGTGTTACAAAAGTTGCAAGTCATTGTTTATTAGTGCTCAAAGTTAGTAACTGATCATACTTACTCACTGTCATAGGTACTTACTGGTCATAGATACTACTGTTCCGAGTTACTTACTGATCATTGTTAATTACTGATCATAGTTGAATACGGATCATATTTACTGCATTGCAAACTACTGACTAAAATTATAATACCCTGCAAGGGTATAAATAAATAAAATATATATTTGCAAAGGAATATAAATTCTTTTATACACGAACAAAAATCTATTAAATATGTGCCTTAATAATAATTGTAATCAAATCTGACTGCTTTGAGTGACGAATTACTACTGGACTTCGAGTGCCAAATACTTGATCATATTGTGTACTCGAAGAGTGACTTTCATTTTCTTTCCGTCAATGCAAACTGATTCATATGGAGACATTGAGAAACACCCTAGACTCCCCAGTACGGACCCAGAGACCCACCTACATATTCTCGCACCGAACCCCTCTAACCATTTTTAATTAGCAAACTCGGCAGAAAAGCTTTGGCAAATGTGTGGCAAAATAAAAAATAAAAATAATAAGAATAAAAAATCCAAAGAGAGCCAGAGTTTGCAGAGTCATTATACATGTCTGTGTCTGTGGCCATTTGTCAGGTGTTCGTTCGGGTCAGCAAATCTGCTGAGATGCAGATGATCATCATCATCGGTATAGCTACTGGTTGGGAGTGTACCGGCTCCGGCTCCAGCTCCAGCTCCAGCTCCAGCTCCAGCTCCGCCTCTGCGCTTTGTTTGGCTCTAACAAATGATAAGCGCCAAATATTTGTTGATAAATGTTTGGAAAATTAAATGAGCAACGTCCGACGTTGAACTCATCGGGCTGGCATGCAAAAGCCAAATATTTATCAGCCTAGAATGGGTATGTGTGTTGGGGTATATACGGACACAGTTCTATTTAGACGGGGATTACAGATCCCACGGTTCGGGGGCCAAGATGCTAATCGAAATTTGAATAACGCTCGCGCTAGCCTTTCAGTTGAATTCCAGTGCCAAAAAAACCAAAAACCAACTTACAGTTCACACACTCAGAGAAACCATAAATAGCATAAATTATGTGTTGTGTCTTTTAACATTTAGAAATGCAAATGGATGCCATAAAAATGGTATTAGCACGATACAAAATTCCATGATTATTTGGTGGTTTTAATAACAAAATCAATGCCCATAAATTATACAAGAAACTAGCATACAATTCTAGATTAAAAATTAATTTTTAATTAGATTTAAAGAACATTAGTGCAAACAAAACTACTAGACAAGTTCTGGCTTTAATTTATAAACTTATTTTTACATTTTCCAGCAACTGATTTAATACACAAACAAAGTAATCAAACCTTGGCCTGATACCTATGTTGATTTTCTAATTTTAAATTGCGATTCCCGCATAGTTTTTTGTTGTCGTGTACTTGTATCTCCGTATCTACACACATCTACCCGTGTATCTTTGTATCTGTATCTTGTATTTGCTCGTTTCCGTTTCTCGAGGAGAGTTTCGTTTTCTTTTTGGCATTGAATTCGCGTTGACTTGGGCTTATCAGCCTTTGGGCCAAAATGCGTCAGCGTTTGCGTCCGGGCACTTGACTTGGCCAGGCTTTTATTTTCTGTATTTGCTATTTGTTAATTTTATTTTGTGTTTTTTTTTTTTTTTTATCACAGAAATGCCAGCAGCGACTGCAGGAGTGACTAGTTAATCATGGTTGGATTCCGTTCGGATTCGCCCCGTCCGCCGGCAGGTGGCTGCCTCCAAAGTGTCAAGATGATCTCGTAACGCGACTCTCTCAATTAGCCGGCCACACCTGACAGCTGCAGATTGAGCTGTGAGTCGAGTCGAGTCGCCTGGCGTCGTTTCGAGTCGAGAAAGGTATTTCGACGGGGCTCCAGATACTCCAGATCCCCAGAACCCATTTGTCCCCCTCCTTGTCCCGGGTGCGAAATACTTTTGACGCACGAGCGCCGCTGAAATGGTTGAAGTTATCGCCGGTTCAGTTGTCAGCCTTCAAATATTTATAAACAAATTATAAAACAATTTTTGGGTAAAGGTTAAAAGTGAAACGGAAAATTACAGGAATGTTTTTTTATTATAAAAATATTTTATAATAAATTATATTACATGATCTCAGATCGAATCGTAAACTGCAAAAAATAAGCAATCGTTAAGAAGCTTCCTTTCTTTTTCAAGATAATATTTAAAAAAACAGCTTTGTTATCTCCTGAAAATGTTTCTTTATGCATTAAAAAATAAGTTTTGTGAGTAAAATAATTCAAAGTATATTAAAGACAGCCTTTTTTAGCAATTTAAAGCTGCAGAAACTTCTGTTGTAATCTGGAATCTTAGTGGTTCTAGAGTATATTAATTCTTCCTTAAATTTTATTTATTCAATAGAAATTGTATCTGTCTTTTAATAACATTTCTAAAAAATGTCATTAGTTTGTTTACAATTCAAAGTTATTTTTCTGGTCTGGGTAAATAATCTGTTTGCAATTATCTGTTTGCGATTATCAATAGATATATCTATAGTCATTGCCATTAGGAAACATGTGTGTTGTGGAGTGTAATTCTACACTGCACACGCCTCTGTTTGAACAAGTGCGGTTGTTTCTATTTCTGCCCAAAAAGTGTGTTACCATAAGCAACCATTTAAGCCATGGGAACCAAATACCTTACCTTACTTTACCGCCGATCTGAGGAATCTCTTCCGCTGGCGGATATGTACGGATGTCTAGGCCTGTTGTGGGTAGACCGCAAAGAGTAAAAAGCACCATCATCGTCTTTGGCTGACATGGAGATGCATATATATCGTTCCTGCCTTCCTCTCACAGCTCCTTCCCTCTGCAAAAACGATCCTGCAGCCCCATATAAAAGCTCATTAAAAGCATAAGAAAAAGAGCAAAAGGCGAAGGCAGCACAGCTACTGTATGGGCCTTGGTTGATTTTCTCGATTTTTAGTGGCTATATATTCCCGCTCTCCCTGCACCACCGTAGAAGTCCAGGAAGAAATCTCCGGCGAAGGAAGAAAAGCACCAAGAAAGGCCAAAACAGGTAAGTCAACAATGGCCAAACAATTGGCACTGAGAGAAAATTTAATTAGAGCTGAAGTTTAAAGATGTAAAAGGGAATAGTAATATTAAAATTTAAGCAAATTCTTTACATCTTCTGCAAATTATGAAAATTATTTGTATATGAATTAAATAGAAGAATAATTCTAATTGACGTGTCCGGTAAAAATAAATAAATAAAAAAATAAATTAGAAATCATTACCTATTTGTTATACATTTTTGAATAATTAATTTTGTTATATATTTTTAGTAATTGCCTTTTTTTTGCAGTGCCTACATCCGTTCGGTTTGCGCACGCGCGACGTTGACGTCGACGTCCTCTGCTGCGTTTGACTGCCTTAATAGTGTGAGTGTGTGTGTTTTGTTTCCTTTTTTTGGGGCCTTGGGGGCCTTGGATCTTTCAGCCTCGAATCTCGTGCCTCGTGTTGCTCTTCTTCTTGCTGTTAGCCGGTATTTACAGGGTATTACAAAGGGATGTTCTTGATTTTGCTTTCAAAAGGATAACGTTTCTCAGAATTTAAATGGAAATTTAGGCATTACAATTGTAGAAATGTTTCAGATATATTTAGAACTTAGAAGAGCTTTAAAATGTGTCTAAAAGTTAGGAAAAATTAACAATTTAACTTGTTATCTAACTTTTAAGCGCCTTGTTTGCTGATTTTCAAATCTTAGAGTTTTCAAGACAACTCTTGATACCTTAGTTGCTCCAGAGCATCCTTAATTCGAGTATTTTTTCCAAAATTTCTTGCCGTACTGCTGCTGCTGCTGATGATGATGATGATGATGACGATGCTAAAGATTGCAATCACGTTGCGCGCAGCGTACAGAATTTGTATCTGCAAGATACATCTGCGTCGCCTCGACTCCCTGCTCCTGAATTTCATTTCACTGGAATTTATTTAGAACACATTGTTGCCGCTGCTGCTGTCGATGTTGCTCGGGGGCTTAGCAGGACCCAGCAGCAGCAACAGCAGCAGAAGCAGCAACAGCAGTAGCAACACAGCAGCAACATGCGGCATTCCAAGGCCCAAAAAAGGCAAATCCCAAGCTACAGCAGTGGCGCAAAATCGATTGGCAGCCTGAAATTTCATTGCAGTTTAGTCGAATTCCCACTCGACTCCCCCTCCTAGTCCACCTCTCTGCTTTTTCCGAGCCAACATATCGAATAAATTGAATCGAATCGAATCGAATGAGATGCCAAAGAGTCTCGGTGCCGACTGGAAATGGAGTGAAAGTAGGGTAGGCAGATTAGACTCTGTAGTAGCGACTCTCTTGGATTGGATCTGTGACTCCGACTTGGAGATCGATATGCACTGAGGCGAAATGTGACTTAGATGGGGTTTGAAATGTAGATGAAATTGTATCAGTAATCCATAAACAATTGCTTGTCATATAAAGAAGATAATGCTTTATATTTAAAGATAATATATTAATACATTTCAAGAGTTTTTGAACGTTTTTAATAGAATTAAAATAGTATCCCTACATTCCCATAAAATAATCTTTTTTTTTTCTTTATAATTTATTTTATTATTATATAGAAAATAATTTTTAAAAGCTACATTTCCTCCTATTTTTATTTTCTCTTATAAGTATATTTCCAAATCTCTAACACACAAAATATTTCTCCAACTGCAATGAACATTCCAAACTTCACATAACAACAACAACAACATCAACAACAACGAATCTCCAACGACCAGGCAAAGGTCAGAGTTGAGATTCTGTTCCAAGCCAATGGTCGCGGGAGGAAAATCAACACAAACTTTGTTGTGACGCCCATTCAGGTGACCAGACTCCTCCCCCACCACCATCATCACCACACCCCCACCTGGCACAGGTATTTACAACAACAACAACAACAACGGCTATCCAACGATCCGAATAGGAAGTGAGTTAGTGTAACAAAAGTCATAAAAATACCTGGGGACCGGCCGAAGGAATGATGATGATGATGGGCAAAGCACGAAGTGCCAGCCCGAGCTGGGTTGGGTTTGGATTTGGGTTCGGATTCGGGTTCGGGGGCGGAGGTGACTCTCCATTAACATTATCGTGGCCAGAACTGAAATATTTTGGCCATAATAAAAAGAATACGAAACAAAGCGAAACGAATTGAGCAGCGAATTGAAACGGAAACACAAATTGTCAACTCATGGAAGCTCTAGATACACTTGATTGGAAATGATAAGGAATGGGAAATGGGGTATTAGGTATGCATTGGGGATTAAAAGAATAGAAAATTATATTACCAATTTAATACATGTACAAGTTTAAGTTGTTTGAAGCTTTAAATACTTTTATTTTTTGAAGAAATTTCCTACACTTCCCAGGCTCTTCTCTGTTGGCAAAACACCCCTTAAAGCGTAACTTCCCTATTCCCCATATAGGGTAAGAAAGTATGCGACAATCGACGATATCGACGATATCGACGAGCGATCGACAGCAATGAAGCGTAACGAAAACACAGCAGCAAAAAAAAGCAAAAGCAACAACAAAAATGCAAAAGCAACAACAGCAAAAGCAAAAGCACATATACAAACTACTGAGAGATGGGAGACCCGCGTCATATCCCAACTTATTCAATAAATTCCAGGCCTCAACGCCAGCGACTCTTGGCCAAAAACCGAAAATCGAAAAAAGCCTGAGGAATTTTGAATAGAAAGAGGATCAATGGCAGCTGCTGCTCTCGCACAAAAAAAAAGCTCACAAAAAAACCAAAATGAAACCCACAAAAGCAAAAAAAGACAGCCCAGAATTGCGCGCCAATTCTGCAAAAGAGATTCTGGGTACCCGGAGACTGGAGACTAAGGCCGTCTTCAAGGAATTGCATAAAAAATTCTTGGCTCTTTCTTCTGTTTTTGTTTCTTTTTTTTCCCCCATTTTTTTGTTCGCTCTTCGCGCTGCTGCTGCTGCGGTCGAAACTTCGGCCTCGACCAGGCTCCAGCATACAGCTACAGGTACAGATACAGATACAGATACGGATACAGATACAGATACGCGTACACAATGTTGACCAAGAACGTAGCGCCCAAAAGGCAGCTTACAGCCACCAAGTAACAGCCGCAGCAACAACAACAACCGGTCTTAGAGAACCAGCGATCGACCAAAGACGAAAGAATAACGAACAGCGAACGAAAAAAAAAAATAAATAAATGAAAATAAAAATAAAATAAAAAGAATACCCATAAACAAGAATGAAAAGCTCCGACTCCAAGAAGTCGAAGATACAGCTACTCTAAGGTATTATACCAGCTTAGTCAGGTTGAGCTGCCCCAAAAAGATACTTTATCTAAGATCTAAGGGGATTTTACAAAAGGATCATTTTATGATATAAATCTGTAACTATAATTATAGTGCTTTTTGCCAATTTTTCAAAATTTTAACTATGTAACCCCTTATCTTTTTTTGAAAAAATTTATATTAGATTTATGATTTAATTTTTTAATACAATTTTATTTTTATCCGAACATGGCTAGATCGACTCGGCTTTCTTTGCTGATCAAGAATATATGTGACTTATAGGGTCGGAAATGACTCCTTACAAGCTTTTGACTGGAGTTAAATACCCTGTAAGGGTATAACAAGACGCATGGTACACTGGAAGAAATTCCAAGATGATTGGAGAGTTCTCATCGTGGAGCGTGTGTATGCTGCCGCATATTTGAGACAGCAGCAGCAGCAGAAGGAGAAGTAGAAGGCAAAGCAAGAAGAAGGAAGAGGAGGTAGCCGCGAGAGTAAAAAGAAAAACAAAACTCACGAAAAAAAAAACTAAAATAAAAAGAATCCAGCAAATCAAGCTCACATAGGAATGCGCCCAAGTGACGATATCGTAGCAGCAGAGGACGTCGGCGCTGACAGCGACGGCAACTGCGGCCGAGGCAGAGCCGCTCTTACAAATGGCCAGCAGCAGCCTCCCCCCTGCGTTTCCTTTGGCCGTTTCTATCTGGGATTTCGTCCGTAGAGTTTATTTTTAAGATAGCCGCCATAAAAGACGATGGGGATCCTAAAAGTTTGATTTGAATTCTGCAATTTTTCAATGGCTTTACGATCCACAATATTTGTTTATATTTATTGCAATTCGTGAACTTTGTTCGCATTAGCAGAGCTTTGATAAGTTGGAGACTTTTCTATGGTCGGAACACAAGGTTTAAAATGCAAGGAAAAATTAAGTGTAGAGTTGTGATTTTTAATTTAGCATCAACATAATTTTTATTTGAACATAAATAGTTATCTATTTGATAATTTTATTTCATTTCACCCTACCTCTACTTATTTCATATTTTAATTTACAATAAAAACTCCTTTGCTTTTCTTTCTTCCCGAAAGGGTTCCACATTCCAGTGGCTCTCCCTCCCTCTTTTTCAGTCATCTCCTCCTTCCAGGCCCCCCTGCTCCATCTCGCCAGATAAGCCATTGGAATGCCACTCACACTCTCGCGCACACACACACACACACACATACACACACTGACAATGCAGTTGTTGGCTACTGGGATACTCCTTTGAAGTTTGTTTTTCTTTTATTGCTATTTACATTATTTTCGTGGCGTTTTTGTTGTTGTTGCTGCTGCTGGATTTGTTTACTGCGAATGTTTTTATTTTTGTTTTCGTTTTTTTGTTTTTAATTGTAACTGGGTAAGAGGGATTTGTCAAAGACTCTTTAATTTAAAATTTCGACTACTCACTAAATTTATATTTTAAAATAGAACTTATTTAAGTATTTAAATTATAAAAATTCATATTTTTAAACCTGGCTTAGTGAATTGATTTCTTAAATTAACATTTCTACCAATTTTAACAGAACTATGTTAAAAGTTTTCTTTTAGCAGCAGTTATTAACTCTCTTTTCGGTCCTCTCTCTTTCTGTTCGCTCACTTGTTCCGTTTTCATTTCGTTTCACCAGTTACTGCGATCCAGTGCTGCTAGTTATAGCCATAAGCTAGATTCTGGACATAAATAAGCTAAAACAGCCTAAATATAAAAATAAATGCTGAAAAACCAGCTATAAGTTGGAGCGCTCTCAAGTTTGGCTCTCTTCTCGGTTCACTCTCGTGCTCTCAGAACAAAATTTAAGGGTTTACAGGGCTCGATCCATCAGATACTCTTGTATCTTTGGCATATAAAACTAAATTGAGTTCCATTTTTGCGTCCAAAATGTACTAATAAATCGAAAAAAAAAACTAATCAGCAAGTTACTATAAGCTAGTTGGACTTTCATAAGCTGTTCCATTTTCACATATCCCAGATATAGCGTGAAGTACGCTAAACTGGCAACACTGATAAAGAGCCGACAGAAAGCCCACCAAACGACTTCGAACACCGCAGATACAGATACAGATACAAACAGACCTCGAACGCGTGCAGTTTCGGTTCGATCCGTTAGTTACTCCGCTCCGATCCGTATCTGTTCTGTGTTTGTTTCGCTGCGTGACGTGACTCCTGCCCCCCGACTCCGACCAGGTATTACTATCCGAGAGATACAACCACCAAAGCCGGTTACGTCCGGGATGCAACGCGACGGCCAAGGATGCAACTGATGCGGCAGTATCTTTGGGATACCATTTAAGTTGACTTGTTGCGCTCGCGTTCTCCTTTGGACAATTGAACCCCGCTCGACTCCGGAACGGAACACAAAAAAATTTTCAAAAACAAATTTTAACGAAATCGGTTGTGCGCGTGGAACTTCATTCCGGTTATTTTTTCGTCGACTCAACAAGTCTCTTTCACTCCGATCGCGCGGTGAAAATATGGCATGTGGATTTCGGTAGATTCATATTAAATATTTCGTGGATTCGTTGGATTTTTGCCTCGATTTCTTCTCACGCGCTGTATCTCACACACACACGCTCGCCCCGAGCTGATATACGGATACAGCTGCCCAGAGACACAGATACAGTAGCTCAGAGTGGAGTTCGGATGAAAAACAAAAATATATATGTATATATAAAAAAAGAAACGGCGACAAGAAAAGTAAAGGAAAACAGCGCGTTTCGATTTGGAAACGGTCTCAGATTCATTGTGTTGCATTCGCTTAAATTACAATTCTGAGCCGCGTGTGTGAGTGTGTGCGAAAGGTGATTTTTGTTGGTGTGCGTAACGCGTGCGTGTGTACGGCTGCTGCTGCTGCTGCTTGGGAAAACGCGAGAAAATAACTCCGACTAACTGCAAAAACTACGGCCAAAAACCACTGAAATCAACTCAAAAAAACCAACTCCAAAAAGTTGGCGCTGGTCAAACCAACAACAACAAAAAGGAGCGAAGAAAAAAATAAAAGAAAAAATCAAGCTACAACAACTGGCTGCGGCAACTACAACAAATCAAACGGCAACAAAAGCAACAACAACTAAACCCAGCAAACGGCATTCTTTCGCGCAACAACAACGGCTCCAAAACGAGAGAGGAAGAGAGAGAGAGCGAGATCGAAAGAGAGCAAACACACACCGACACCGACACACACAGACACACATCCAACCCAATATCCAATAACCGAACCCCAACACACACACCCTCGTTCCATCGTGCGACGCTGGAATGCGGCCCGTTCGCTGTTGACTGCGCAGTCGCAGCGCGCGTCGCGAAGAGGTCAGAAAACAACAGCAACAACAAAAAAAAAAAAATACATACCAAACACAAGCAGCGCCAACGAAACGAAATTTTTACTGTTAGGCATTTATCGATAGCCAATCGATAGATTTTGTTTAAAAAGTGCAGAAAGAAAGAAAGCAAAGGCAACGGACGACGAGCTACAAATTCAACTAGAAAACTCTATTTTTGTGGATTACGCGAAACAGCAGCAGCAGCAACAACAACAATGCCGACAACTGCAGCGGCTGCCTAAGGTGAGAAAGGAATATGTACAAGTATGTGCATATGTATAAGTAGAGATTGTAGGGTTCCATTTCCCTGGAATTTTAATGACGAACCTCATAAATGAGAAAAAAAGAAGAAAATAAAAAGGCAAACAAAACAAATGCCAAGCGAATTTCTTATCTGCCAGCCATAAAATCGCCAACGTCCAACGATTGTTTAACTTTTCGTTGTTGTCGCATTTTTTCATTTTCTTTATTTCTTTTTTTGTGTGTTTGTTCTTTACTTTTTCTTAATTTTTTTCTCTTATATTTTTGGATAGCAAAACCACTAAAAAGAGTAAAAAATACAATGAATTGTGCAATTAACCCATTTTATACCATGGAATATCAAATATCAGTCACATTATGCACTATTTAGGGGGATATAGAAAAGCTTTTAAAATAATTATATTAGGTTCGAAAAGAATTAAATTCTTATTTGCTTTACCAGCGAAATACCCCTATTAATCGTTTTGTAACTATTTAATATTTTAGTACTACTATAAAATTTCAATATTCTTAGGAAGATCAGCTTGTAACCAAAATTATTAGACCTAAAATGTTAAAATCAAAACACAGAGGAGCCTCGTACGCTGTGAAGGTGTCATTTCCGACCCTATATATCATATATATTCTTGACCAGCATCAACAGCAGAGTCGATGTAGCATATTTCCGGAAGAAAAAATTTTTATAAATTTTTTTCAAAAATATATAAGAGTTACATCATTCAAATTTTTCAAAAATTGGCAAATTTGTAAATTTTTTTAAATTTCACATAGAGTATGCAGATTTGTTAACCTCTTAAATTGATTTCCGAACTGAAATTAATGCATTTTTGGCGTAGCTATGATCGATTTGCCATTCGATCTTAGCAACCAATTGCAAAATGCAAGAGTAAACAAACTTGGGCTTCACAAAACTAGCTTCCTTTCTTGTATTCATTTAATGTTTGTTCCAATTCGTCTATAATTCACAACTGCTTGGTTGGACTTGCCAGAATTTCAGATAGTTTTGCTTCTCTTTACCCAAGTTTAAGGTATTTCAAATTCGAGAGTATTTTTGAAGATCGTATACCATTGCCCGCATAGAATTTCATGCCACTCTCAACCCCGTCAAACCGAAATTCTTAATCCTAATTCCCAACTGGGTTAGATCGTCGGGGTTCTGGTGGTTTCTTATGGGTTCTTGTGGGTTAAGTGCTCTCGCTTATCGGGGCAGGTGGGTGCTTAAGCAGTTGTCTGAAAACGATCGACAGCAGCGGAACAATTAAGTGGAAATTGTAGCCAGCAACCACTGAATGGGGGATGGGACTTAAATGCTTATTTCCCTTGTTTGTCCCGGGTCTGGGATTTCAATTTGTGAGCCGGGGAAATCGGGGAAACTGCGGAGAACAATAACTGAAATCAGAGCCCCATACGACAATCAGACATCTCGAATGTAAATCAGCTGCGAAAGATAAACAAACGAGTGGAAACACACGCTTTGAGTGGTTAACGTTAAACGCTAATCGTTAAACGATTTTGCCACCAGGCGATATATATATGTATGTATAGTAGTAGTAATTGTCGGTAGGTAACTGTATCTGCAAACAGGCGTATCTGTATCTCACTGCATACACATGTATCCCCACTGGTTTTGCAGTTGTATCTTGTGGTTTGCGATTGAGCACTGACATCTCCATCTGTACATCTTGTACACTTGACCTCAGCGGGCCGAGGGCTTTGCATTGAAAAAAACTGACAACTCTGACAACGGCGATGATAATAAATACTTGAAATAATAATTTCGTAAACCGAAATTCCTGCACGCATCGAATAATGCGTATATATACAGACACACACTCACACTCGACAAGTGTGTTGTTCCGAACAATTCAAGCAATTAAAATGTACAACAAATTAAACAAATTTTGAATGACAATCGAGTCGAGTCGAGGCTGAGAGATAGAGATACAGCGACTTGGCTTAGCTACGAGTTCATTGAGTTTTTGGGGGAATAGACTAATGAGTGACCTTTAAAGTCCCGGAATATTAAAGCTTACTTTGAAGTGGTGTTTATTTACTATTGAAGCTAAGTATTTCTTATTGATCCGCCTGATCAGACCATCGATCGATTGATCCCAAGAAATATGGCAGCCATAAAGTTTAAACAACTATAAAATAAATCAATGGTTTTGCGATCTAGGCTTGTGATATGCCCGATTTTTATTATGCTTCTAACTGGTTTTCATGGTCAACCCCAAAATAGAACACTTAAAATAAACACAAATACTTTAGATCCTTTTTAATATTCATGGTTATAAAATTCCAGAAATTTAAATATCTTATGAAAGGGGATCTTTTGGGTTAGAATTAAGTGGTTTCTGGATTTTATTTCTTTTTTTAAACATTGGGAATACAAGGTTAGAAGGTTTTTTAGTAGTAGACTTTCTCGTGGAAAGAAATACCCCTCTTTATTTGATACCTGTAATTTTTCCTAGGGTATTACGGCAGACATAGTTTCGCACGCCTTCGATTCGGCATGCGGCACACGTTGCCACTGCCTGGTTTTTTTTTTGTTTTGTTTTTCAATTTTTTAGTTTCTTTGCTGTTTGCTGCTCTCATTGCGGAGGCCATCGGCTCCTCCGCGCCGCTCCACCTTTGCCCAGGTGTGGTGCAAAGTGGTGCCAAGCCAAGCCAAGCGACGACGACGACGACGTGTGCGCTGGTTTCTACGGCCTGGGCTGGCCCACTCCGCCCTGGCATGGTTGCTCATCACCATTGCTATTATCGGTGGAGCGTCATTATCGTGATCACACTGTGCGGGGACATTTCGCGCATTTCAAAGACACCAAAATGTTAAGTGTGTGTGTGTTTTGGCCATAACTGGCACAACAAGTGGAATTTCATGGAGTTGGGAATTCAGCATTCAGCATTCGGCATTTGCCGCTGTTTGGTTTTGTTTCTCATTTCTGTTTTCTCCTTTTCATATATTAGTTTTTTATTTGTCGGCATTTGGCAAGAAAACGCCAAGTTATTTACCGATTTGATGGCATAATAACCCCACACGAAGAGAGATACTTGATAATATTAGTTACAGTTTGTTTACTCGTGATTTTAAATTTATTTAAATATATTAAAGATGAGAGGCTTTTCAAAATGGGTAATCATTTAACGTTTATACACCAACATGGAGTAACTATTAACTCTTTTTACCCATTTAAGTAAGATTTTGTATTACAAAACCTAGGAATAATATTAAAATTATATTTCCCTAAAGTTCTTTTTCAAATAGGAATTTTTGTAAGCTATAAACTGCCCATTGACTACCAATTTAGTATCTAAGCTTGGCTAAAAACACATTTGCGTGACGAATACGCCACACCTTTCCCTGGCTCTGTTCCCAATGACGCGCATCCGCCGCATTGGCCAGCGTGTGAAAATGCCACCAAATCGAACCGTTCAACTACGTATCGAGTCTGTACTGAATTGAACTAAAACTCAAAACTATTTCAGGCCGCCCCATTGACGCCAGCTAGCCCAGCTTCTATTGGTAATTAAAAGGCCCAGACGCACGTAGACTAACCCGCTCCGGTTATTCAGTCCATTCCGGTCTCGACACGACACGACAAGCCAAGTCAGGCCAGCTCATGAGCAAAATATTCCACGTCAAAAGCTACCGCTTTGCCGATCGTCATTCATTAGTCGTTGTCGAAGCTCTGAGAACGAGCGAAACACTTTCAATAGAATGCGCGAATCCAGTTTGAGTGTAAAAACAACTCGGTGCTAGAGCACTCACTCAGGTTAGACAACTTACAAGATCAATAGTGGTTCAGAGAAGAGGAATCTCTTGAAGAAGAATCTATTGGAGAAAATCTATTGGAGAAGAATCTATTGGAGAAATGGAGAATAATCTCTTAAAGAAGAATCTATTGGAGGAGAATATCTTGAAGGAGAATCTTATGGAGAAGAATCTTTTCAAGAAGAATCTAGGTTAGATGTCTAAATTATCAGAGGTTTTTACTGGAATCCGGAGAGTTAGGTCTGAATAGAAAGGGATTAGTTGTATATAAAGTATAGATACCAAAACATCCTTTAAAGCTTCCTAACTTCCAGCGGTTTATTTAGATATTAAATACACATTTAAGTTCTTCTAAAAATAGTATAAAATTGCTATATCTTTTAGATGTCGTGCTTGTAAATATATACTTTCTAAATTACATTATTTATACCAACTTGATACTTCATGTCAGCATTATAGAGTGTGCTGCCTGCCTCCCTAATCATTAACGAAACCATTGATTATTTGTAATTTATTTGTTAGCCACAAAAAAAGTGTCCCCTATGTTATTAAGTGATTAGTGTTTTAAAGTTAAGAGTAGGTGAAATTAACTCTTTCTCTGGATACTATCATATTCTACAAAGTTGTATTTACATTTGAATCTCTGTTGAACTTAACGAATTTCTCAACGAGTTCAGTTGATTTTCAATCTTTATCCCACGTTCAGATCATCTTGAATTCAATTCAATTCGATTCAATACTATTCGCATTCCATGCTACTCGATTTTACGATCATTTACGCTGCCTTGTTTATTGATCTGATCAATGCGCTCTCACACTCGCATTCCTCGCTGAAATCCATATGGATATTTCCAATTTCTGATTCCGTTTCTGATTCGATCAGCATTTCAATGGGCCAGTCAGCCAGCTTACACACGCGGTTAAAGCATTTATCGTGGTCTCTCGGTCTCAGCTCTGGAGGTCTCTATGCCAATGGTTCCTTACACTGGCACCCCGCTTCTATCCAATATCCCCGATCACCGATCACCGATCACCGATCCAATCGATCGTCGTTCGACTTTGGCGATTGGCTGGGTTGACTCGAACTCGGTTGACAAACACACGCCCCGAATGAGCTCAGTGCAATGGCATGTGTGTGCAGTTGACATAGTCGTTGAGGGGCAAGAGGGGTGGTAATGGGACGAGGGGTTCATGGGGAGAAATATATTTCTAGAGGGGTTTTATAAGTGGGGTTTTTTAAAGGATTTTCTGGTAAAAACTTACCTAATTAAACTGGGATAGTGGGAATACTTCATGTTTTTATTTTGTTTTTAGGAAATAACTTTAATAAATATTAATTTTATAGTAAAATTAAAGGTTTTTTTATCATTTCTATAAGAACCAAAGCAAACCATACTTAAAACTATACATATTTTATTTAATATATTTAAAATTCTTTTTACAACAATATGTATTATAAATCCAGCTTAGAGAGTTATAAAATTCTCTTACCTTTCCTACAATTTTCCCTTTTTTCCAAGTTTATTTATATTTTTTTTTATTGCACCTCGGAAACAGTTGTGTTGGAAGTTGCCTGAACTTTTCGCAGTGTTTGCTTTTTGGATTTGCTGTCGCAGCACAACGTGGCGTATGCGCAATGTCTCTGTTTCTCTATCTCTATCTCTGTCTTTGACTGAGCTGCACTCTTCCCTCCAATGGGGGAAAGAGGGGAGGGAGGGGGTTTGGTGGGGCATTCGCTTAGCTGGCAGAAAAAGCATTCACTGGCCTGGCGCTTGCGCCATTTAATTGACTTTGGTCGGGGCAGAGCCCGTGGGATTTTATTGCCTCCAGTGTCTCCCTCTCTTTCTCTGTCTCCCTCTCTTTCTCTGTCTGCATTCCAAAACTCTCTACCCCAGTACCCCAACCCCCTTGCTCTCTCTGTGCCTTGAGCTTATCATAAACAAAATACAAGTATTTATTGCCATTTGCTAATTGCTGATTAGCGTGTCTCCCCACCAGCTCCACTTTGGCTCACTTCTTTTGCCGGTTTTTTTATTTTTGTATTTTTTTCTTCATTTTTTAATTGGCACCCCCCAACCCCCCTGTTCCGTGACTCCCCCCTGCTCTTGCTCTTGAGTTTGTGTTGACTTTGATAATTAGCGTTGGCACGGCTTTCTTTGCTTCCCGCTCTCATTAGCCAATGGAATGCGGATAATTTGCTATGATTGAAATTGTTAAATGCTTTTAATTTGTTTGCATTTCAAATTAAAAAAGAAAAAAATGAAAAAAAAAACAGCAGCCGTTGACTCAGACAACCATCTTCTCCAGCGGCAAGATTTCGAAAAAAGTCGTGATCCAAAACTGGCAAATATTTTTGTAGCTTTTTGGCATTTCTTTTATGTTTATATTTATATATGTACATATATTGCATAATGACCGGCATTGTGAGCTGTTTGGAATTTGTCTGGCTTTCCTTTGAAACTTTGCAGATACATTTGTATCTGTGGAGGGGGAAATGTCGCCTATCATGCTTCCACTTCCGGTGAAATCTATGCATAATCGTAGAGCGATCTACATCTGCCAAGATCTCATTTGGTTTAAACGTTCTCTTCTGTTCTCATTGGTTCGGTTTCCTTGGGAATTCCCTGACATATTCCGATGGCAATCTTCTAATTAGTTTCCTTTTATTGTTATCAGGCCATTTCCTTTTATTGCTGATCTTTATTATAGTTTATTACGTTTAAGTGGTATAAACAGTTCCAGTGAAGGCTTGATTATGAGTTGAGTATTGAATATATTATTATCAGGTATTTATTGGTATAGTAAGTAATTAGTTTCCTTTTAAAGAAGTACTTTAAGTTAAAGTACTTTAAATACTTGCCTAGAATGTATACCTTCCCCCGTATTTTTAATCTCTCAAATAAACCTTCTCTTTCTCCCCCAAATCACTCAATATTCCGGACTCTGAGTGATCACTTAATCCAGTTCCTCTTGAGACCTCAACAATGTTGTTATTTTTTGTGTTTCACCGATAAATTCCCCGGTAATAAGTCAATCGCGAGACACATTAGAGAAGCAGAGAGTGAAATACAGAGGAACCTGGAATTCCGATTCTCGTTTCGTAATCTGGCATAAAGACTTTGTGTCTCTGAGCCTGTTCTTCAGATCACCTTATGGCCAGGTCCAAGGTGCGCATGGAAATCGGCTTAAAATATAATTGCTTTTCAAAAGCTTTTTTGGGAGAGGAGGAGACTCGGGGGAGAAGAGTTTTGTTTGTCAGTATTCCCAGATATTCTTTGGTTTCTAATTTATGTCAAATGTGCGCTTTGATTGATGATCGCTTTTTGGTAGGGAAGGCGGATGGAGGGGCATTCCTTCGATCGGTCTGATCATATATTTATAAGTCAGGGCGGAGAACCAACTCCAAAGGCCCGTTGTCCCACTCCAACTATATCTGCCGGCTCTCGGACTTGACTCTGAATAAATTTATTGGACGTTGAAATTTATTAGACACAGAAAATGCGCCAATATTGAAATTTATGCGTCTCCATCGGGCTGAGTTAGAAACTGTAGTCGCTGGCGCTCAGGCTCTTTCTTATACACAACAAAAATAAAGTTGATTTGATTCGATTTGATTTTAATTTATGCATAAAATACTTTTCTTTCATCACGGCGGGGCCAGTTTCGGTCCCTCTCTCTCTCTTGGTCAGTGTCTGTCGCCTGTCTTGGAACTTTCTTTAACTGAATTTTAATAATTTTATGCGCAACGCATCGAGAGGGGGAGGCCGGCCTGCCACGCACGCATCGCCTCGAGTCTTTAACTATTTAGTTTTTTTTTTAATTTTTTTGAGACCAAGTCCAAGTTGGTGGAGTCCCAGTCTCAGTCTCAGTCGGAGTACGAGTGCGAGGTCCCCTGGCCGCTAATCAAGTTTGTCGCCTAAGTCTTTCGTTATTGATTGGTGAAATTGTTCGGCAGTCGGTTTTTGGGCCCAAAAGAGGCGGGCGCCATCTCTATAGCCACCGCTTCTTCGCTCCAGCGTCCGTCTGGGGCGGCTCCAGCGGCATCAATTTGCCTGAAAAAACAACAAAAATCCAAGAGAAAAAACTGAAAAGAATGGTGCCTAACCGAGCCAATCTTGCGGCAGCTTTATCGGCATTTGATGAGCCAGAAATGCGGTTAGAAATGACGCTTTGATGCCTGGAACATTTGTTTTTTTTTTTTTTTAGCTTGTATCACTGGAATGCGATGAAATTTCATAGCCGGAATGGTTTATCGACGGAATGGTGATGGTATATCACAATCGTAAAAATTTGGAGCGCTTCGAAAACCAATTTTCATATCATGTGTCTACCAGATGATGTTTAGTCTTTGATTAACCATCGAAAGAAAGTTCAAGTTTACACTGGTAAAATTAACTGAGATTGGGATTTCCTAAAGATTTTTTAAACAGTTAAGGAGAATATTGTAATAGAATAAGAACTTGTATAAGCTGTTTTGTGTTTATATATCCCACTTAGGTAAAGACCTTTAAAGAACCATGTATATACTATATTAATATTATTAAAATAGGATTGACAGAGCTGTTATTTCTGACAGAATTTGATAATATAATTAAAGGGTATGTAGGGAAAAATTCTCTAAACTTAAAGATTTAAACAGTTTAAAGGAGGAAATATCGGAAGAGATTTAAAAGTTGTATTGCATTTGTTACTAACTGTTTTGTGTTCATATATATTATTTGGGTAAAGACCTTGAATATATTATAGTAATATTATTAAATTGCTCTTATTCCTTACTGAATTTGATAACATAGTTAAAGGTTTCTTAATAATGCAGCTTTAAGTTTAAGTGACTTGCAACTTTAAGTTTTTCAATTGATTTTTCAGTACAAAATACCTATCAAATCTCTCTTTTCCTTCCTATATTAATCCACATATTTTATTATTATAAATTGTTCTTTAATTTTCTTTTCCTCCAAAATAGGAAAATATTTCAAACGCGCGCGCTGTATACGGAAAATGATGCAGCATGCGAGCATTTTGCACCGTCAGCGCGCCCCTGGAAGTATGCGCGTCCTCAGCCGAGCAACTATCACCAGGCTCGCGATTCCTGGCCCTGAGGTGAGTCCTTATCCATTAACTTAACTCTTTATATATATTAATTTATATTTATTTTGCATGAAATTAATTGACAGACTTCTGGGGCATCAGCAGCCGAAAACCCTGTACTTCCTAGTCGATGCCAAGAGTCGCGTACGAGAGGTTTACACGCAGACATGTCTGCACTTTGCCACGCAAGGGATGCTGGATACCGAACTCTTTGGTCTGGCTGTGCTCATAGGTGAGTGTCCAGTGTGTAGGGAAGTGGGATAGGGTTACCATCTACCATGTGTCCAAATGAAGAGTAGCCAAAATGCCAGCGATAAGGCACGAAAAGTACAACTAATAAACATAAACCAGTCTTCTCTAAAAGCTGCTCATCATCATCAGCAGCAGCAGCAGGAGTGAGTGAGGAGCAGGAGATTCAGCCTCCATCCTCCATCCTCCATTCTGGCCAAAGCGATCTGCCAAAACACATAAAAATACCAACACAGCAGAAGAAAAAAAGAAATAAACGGAGAAAAAAATGGCACATAAAACGAACAAAAAGCCAGGGAACGCGTCGCCTTCATGGCGAACAAACAATTTCAGGAATACAGAAGAGGGGCCTCAGCTGAAGGAGCTGGAGATGGAGTTGGAGGAGCTGGAGGAGCTGGAGGAACTGGAGGATCTGGAGGAGGAGATGCAGGGCAGCAGGGAACAGACACAAGACGCGTGTTCAGTAATTCAGGTAGCCGTCGCGCGTTGCATTAACACAAACGAATCGAACGACAGCCAAGGAGGATGGCGGCGATTCGAGGCTGGAGTTGGAGTTGGAGTTCGGAGGATGGAGGATGGAGGCTGGAGGATGGAGGCTGCAAGCTGGAGCCTGAACTGAAACTTGGCAAAGAGGCGAGCAGACAGCGTCTTTGGCATTGGCCCCAGATATATATACATGTATATATATATGCGTTTTCCAAAGGCCCAATAATACAGGAAAGAGCAAACGAGAAAGGAGCCAAGAATTTTCATTTAGATTGAAAACGAAGTTCAAGTACTCTATAAAAGAGTTTAGAAAAGGGAAAAGTGTTCTTAATATTGTAGAAAAATATTTTAAAGAGTTCTTGAAGGCACATTTAAATGGTTTTGCAAAACGATAGATTTATCCACATTTTATGAATGCTTAATGCAAAAGTCAATAAGAAATCTTATCTATATCTATTTATATCTATATCTTATCTATATCTTAAAGTTCCAAGTTCTAAAATTTCATATTCTGTTGAATATACATTAGATCCATAAATGGAAGAACAGACAAATTAATTAAAAATACATATAGTAAAACATTAAATGATATATCTTTTGTCATTTAAAGTATTCAAAGACTCCACTTTTCAAGTAGCTTTCTTGACTCCATCCCCTTAGTTTAAAAGACTCCAATTTAATAGAACTTTTCCCAACTCAAACCCCTTCGACTATTCGTCTATACCCCTTATTTCATGTTACGTTTGGTTAGAGCAAAAGCCCAAGAACACAACACGTAAATTTTCGAATCTGGTTGGCATCAATTTCGTGGCAAGAGGCTGGCATTCGAAGGGGAGGAGCAAGCGTTGGGGAGCAGCGGCGAGGAAGTTGCCTCAACATCTTCAGCAAAGAATTTGGTATGCAGTTTGAAGTCCAAGTCGAAGTCGAAGTCGAAGTCGCTGCTGGAGCTTGAAGTTGGAGCTGGAGGTGGAGCTGAGGCTGCGGCTTTAACTGAATCTGAAGATGGGGTTGGGCATGCCAACGTCCTCGCTTGCCTTGGAGAAGCACAACGAAGTGGAGGAAGATGCTGTGCCACAAGCAGAGGATTCCTCTGGCTCAACTATGAAATTGGCAGTTTGCATTCTGCTCTCATGTATGGAGTGTGTGTGTGTCTTGGGGCTTGGGTTTGGTTTTGTGGCCAAGGATTCCGGCCAATGTCAGTTGTTTGGCTCTTGGCGAGTTTGGCATGCGGTTGTGGCAAGACTGCGTTTTCTTTCACCAAAAAAATACTGAAGTTATATATTAGAAGGAAAGATAGAGTTAAGAGTTAAGAGTTAAGAGTTAAGAGTTTATATAAGCAAATATAAACACAAACGAACTTCATACTTCAAATGGTATAACCCTCTTTAGCAAGTTTGTTGCCTGAGTCTTTTGATTCTCTTCCCTTTGGCAATGTCCTAAAATGCTTAAAGAGCTGCTTAAATGATGTCCCTTCTGCGCGAAATGGTAATGAATTTCAATTTTATGGCCAAGCAACCGTCAATAAATTTCATCTTTATGCAAATTCGCTTTGCTCCTTTGGTGGAAGATGATGCATCTTTAAGTGGTGGCTGGGTCACTCCAACCCGCTGGCCATTTGGCAACATTGTCGTCGGCCATATCTCCTGCCACTCCATCCTCCTCCTTCATGGTGTTATTTTTAGGCTGTCGCATTGCTCGGATTCCTGTGCCGCATTCCATACTCCTTGCCCCCTTGGGGTACGTTCCCCCGCCCCAAAAACACAAACACAAACTCTATCTCTTTGCTCCTTCTCGGGGCCCCGCCCCCTTTGTAGCTGTAATCTGTAGACCAGCATTTTCTTTTCCATTTAATGTTAATGGCTCATAATCATTATTATATGGCGTTGGCCGGTCCTCGTTTCGGTCTTCAGTCTTCAATCTTTGGACGACGGACACGGCCTTGCAGTGGAGCTGCCACATGCCCCTGCCCCTGTCCCTGCCCCCTGATTCCTCTCCTTCCCTGCCTCTTCGGGCTGCGTGCATCTGATAACATCGGAAATTAAAATTCTTTTGGTTTTATGTTGTTTCTGTTTTTTTTTTCGTTCTCTTTTTCTTCCCCTCAGCCAGTTTCGATGCACACACACACACATTTATCTTCGAGGCTGTCCATTCTTGGGGATATCCTATAAAAAAAGTGTGTAAGATCAAGGGTATGCTGGAATTTTGGGTTTTAAGGAAGGATTTCTTAATTATTTCATGTTGATATTTTTTTTTGCTCTTTTTCCCCATAAAGAAAACTCTTTAATCTTCACTTTGTTTGATTTATGGTATAAACATTTTTCAATATTCTAAAATATATTTTAAAAGAAGAAATAAAGTTAACTTAGAGGAGTTAAAGTTAGCATACCCTTTAAGTATGTAATTTGGTCCATTTTAAAACTACCATAACTAAGCCAAAATCCATTAATTTCAATTCGGAAACCGTTTCTGTGCTAGTTTTTATTAGGTTAACAAATCTGCATACTAAATTTAACATTTAAAAAATATCAATTTTTTTTTTTATCCATTTTTGACAATTTTAATGATGTAACCCCTTATTTTTTTTTGAAAAATTCGAAAAACCTTCGAAAATTTATTTTTTTACAGGACATGGTTAGATCGATTCGGTTGTTGATGCTGATCAAGAATATATGTATATACTTTATAGGGTTGGAAATGACTGCTTCACATATATTTGATTAAAACTAAAATGCCTTTTATGACTATAATAATACTTAAATAAAAATGTATATCAAAGGAGTTATATTTTCCTACATTCCAGGGCATTCCCTGGTCGAGTTCTATATTCCGTTTTCTTTATTCTTTAGTTGATTTTTTTTGTTTTTGGTTATTACGGCCACTCAAACTCGGACTGAGACCTTTTGGAAAAATAAATCTGAATCTGAAGAATGCCAGGCCATGGCATTGGGCGCAGCTGTCTCCGTGGCCAGACCCTGCTCTCCTCCAGCTCCTCCATCTCCTCCTCCTCCTCCTGGTGCTGCTGCTCGCCAGTTATTATGCCTGCCCCTCAGCTCACCTGGCACTCACCTCACCTGAACTCGAGCTGGAATTCCTCGGCTTGATGAGCCTTTGCCTGCCTGCTGCCTCTGCTTTTGAGGCTGTAATTTGTGTTGCATGTGTTTCAAATTGAAGATTTATTTCGCTGCCCCTCGACCCTCGGTCTTGGGTCCTCATACCTCATACCTTAGTCCCGAGTGCGTGCGTGTTAATTGTGAGCGCTGAGGAATGCGATGGAAAATATGTTAATTATTAGGTTTTTTTTTTTGGTTTTGCTTTGTAGCCGCGGGGGCGGGGTATTGGGATTGCGTGAGGATCCATCAAAAGGCAAAAGGCGGGCAGAGACTGGCTACCGCAGAGAGATCAAACTCCGTTGGCCTTCACACCTGCCGCCCTGGAGCTCTTAGAACAAGGCTGGAGGTGTATTCTTGGGCCAAAGAAAAGGAATTCCATTCCAAGGAGTTGGGTGAAATTTGAATGCGAAAAGAAATCGCTTGGAGTTTCGGCCTGGGGAGCTCTCTCGGAAACTGCAAAACCGAACGACTTGGGTTTCAGCTGCCTCTTTTTATTTTATTTTTTGTTGTATTTCAGCTCTCTGTGCTTACCTGTCTTTCTACCTGTTTCTTTTTTGTTGTTGTTGTTGTGTTTCTCCTCTTTCTCTGTGGCTCTTTTTTTTTTTTTGTTGCTGCGTTTTGGGCTTGGTATGCAACACTCGCTCTCGCTCTGAGTTGGTTTTGTACACGCTAAGAAAAAATGGGGGGTTTGGTGGGGAATTTGGGGGAATTCATAAATCAGATAATATATATTTTATTGGCGATTTTAATTGTGATTAAAATTTATTTAATTATTATATAAAAGATTTATAAAAGACTTTGTTCTAAGAGGTCGCTTGAGGGCTATAAGTTTATTCATCAAAAACTATGATTTTATATTCTTGGATGCTGGAAACGATGATAGAATTATATTTAATTATACTTAATTCAAATATTAATTATATTTAACTACCCTATCACTGTAAAAATCTTGGTTTTTTATGTATTTATTACAAAATTTATAAACTAAAGCTTAAGAATGAGGTCTTTACTTATACCCTATTACCCTTTACCCTATTTTCGAAACTTCATAAATAAGAATTTATATCTTATTTATGTTCTATTATAACCTTCGTTTTTTCTGAGTGCTCCCAACTTGAATACCTATTCTTTCCTGGCCGTCCACTTGTTGCCACTTCCACTCCAGCTTCAGCTCCAGCTCCAACTCCAACTCCAGCTCCGGTCCACGACGTCGTCATTGATAGGCACTTATTCGGCCGCTGATGATTATTATGATATTGTTGCTGCTGCTTCTGCTGGATGCTGGATGCCTCCATTCCAGTCTCCCCTCCTCCTTCACCCCCTCTGATCTTTCCTCTTGATTTTTTCATAATTATTATTTTTCATCTTGCTGCTCTTCATTTCGTATGCAGGAATTCCAATTTTTCGTTCGATGAAGTGTGTGTTGATTTCGTTGCTGTTGGTGCTGTTTCTCCCGTGCCTTCTCGAGATTCACCCGACATGCCCTTGGGGGCCCTTCTTCTGCTGGATGAGATCGGTTTTTGGTTGGTATGGAAGCCATGCCCCCGATTCCCGCCTCTGCTCTCTCTTCCTCTGTCCCTCTGTCCCTCTGACAGCCTGACGTGTCGTCATCATCATCATCATCATGATGATCGTCAGACTCCAGACTCTTGTCGATGTCAATGGGATGCTTGTTTATTGCCTGACAAACTGACAGAGAAGTCTGGTTCCCGCCGATCCCGATTTGAGCCTGATTCAGGCATAGCCGAAAGTTCATTTAAAATTTTGATTAGCGACCTTGGCGGCTGCGCGCCAAAAAGGTTTTCCTGCCATCGCAACCGGAAATTCAATGGAATTTAACTTGACAACCGAACTGATATTTAGCTTTACCTTCACCAGTTTTTTCTTGTAGCCAGGATTTTGTCAATGGGAATACACTTTTTATGATTCCCATTCTTATATTTGATGTATTTTCAACTAATATAGCTTTCCTGTTTTTCCAAAACTTTTGCAGATGGCGAGTACATGTTTGCAGATCCCGAGAGCAAGCTCTCCAAATACGGCCCCAAGAGCTGGCGATCCTCGCACACCCACGTAAGTAGCATCACCTCTGCCAGGTCCAATCTGATCATCTTGATTAACCCTTGAATCCTTTACCCCCAACCAGGGTCTGGATGCCAATGGACGACCGCTCCTGGAGCTACACTTTCGCGTGCAGTTCTACATCGAGAGTCCGTTCATGCTGAAAGATGAGACGTCCCGCCACAACTATTACCTGCAGCTGCGGCACAACATCCTGCAGCGCGACCTGCCCCGGGAGCAGGCCGAGCAGGCTTTGGTCTTCTTGGCCGGTTTGGCCCTTCAGGCCGATCTGGGTGATGCTCCGCCGGGTGCGGGGAATTCCAAGGATGACTCGGGCGAGGAGGCCTCACCTTCTGGCGGGAGGGGATTGAGTGCCACCACCACACTACCCAAGATTAGTAAGCGTGCCAATGAGCGGATGTTGAGGCTCTCCACGTACGTGGCATCCACGTCGAAGAGGGAATCCATACCGCTGCCACCCAGCCTGCCAACGAACGGAGTGGATTACTTTCGGATAGAGGATTACCTGCCCAGTGGGTTGCACACTCCATGGGCGAGGAGTGCGCTGAGGGCCTGCCATCGGGAGCACTTGGGCATGGCCACGCCGGAAGCCGAACTCCTCTACATCCAGCAGGCATGCAGTCTCCACGAGACCATCAATGCCCACACCTACCGGATGAGGCTGGCCAAGAGTGAGCAGGGTTCGGGCAGTGCCTGGTTTGTGGTCTATGCCAAGGGCATCAAAATCCTTGGCGGAGAAGCCTCAAGCACCAGTTCGTCGTCGTCCAGTCCGGAAGTCACTACCTTCCTTTGGCCCAATATCACCAAGCTCTCGTTCGAGCGGAAAAAGTTTGAAATACGTTCCGGGGAGAGCAGGATCACCCTGTATGCGGCCTCCGATGAGAAGAACAAGCTCCTGTTGACTCTCTGCAAGGACACCCATCAGTGGAGCATGAAGCTGGCAGCCCGACTAAAGGAGGTGTCCAAGCGGGAGGAGGAGGAGGCTGCCGAATCCCAGAGACTACACGCTAGTTACGCCTGCTCCCGAAGCCTCCTGTTGCCCTACAAGAGCAAGAACGAGCAGCGCATCTCGGTGATCTCGAGCACCAGTTCCAACACCACCTCCGGCATTGTCAGCGATCGTGTCCACTCCGAGGATGAGCTGGAGATCATGATCAATACGCCGCCGGCTCCACTTGCAGCTCCCTCCACGGAGAGCCTAGCCTTGGCTCATCTCCTGGATCGGCCCAGTGTGAGCAGGCAAACCTCGAGCGTGGGTCAGATGTCCTTAAAGGATTTAGAAGAGCAGCTGGCCGCCTTGAGCGTGAGACCACCGGATGCCAATTCCAACGGAACAGCGTCCCTGGCAAACTCATCGGTTCAAAGGAGCTCCACGGGCACAGCGGCCAATGATTCATCAACGGCCACCGATTCACCTAGTTCGCAGCACAACATCGGCTCCCAGTGCTCCTCCACATGCAGCACGGTGGTGGTCACATCACCTACTAGCAATGGAGGAGGCGGAGGAGCCTCGTCAACAGGTGCACCCGTTCCAGTGCACTCCACGTCCTCCAGCCTGGAGCTGGGCTTTAGTCACACCGCCCAGAACTCTGCCCTGAGCGAAGCAAATCCCGAGGACTTTCTGTCCACCTCGGCGAGAGAGGAAACGGAGAGTGTGTCGGGAGTGTCCGGAGTCTACACCTTAGCCCACGGAGCTCCGCCCACCGAAACCTCAGGGGTTTACACGATGCACAGCAGTGAACTTACCGGACAGTCGTCGGAGATGGCCGAGTCGGAGAAGAGCTCGCACTACGGCATGTTCCAGCCGCAGAAACTGGAGGACAACCATGTGCCACATCCCGACTCAGTGGATGGAAAGAAGCGAGCCGAATTCCGACTGCGATCGGACTCTAATATCAGCACAGGCAGCTCCTTCCGTGGCGATGGCAGTGATCCCACGGACAACAAGCATTCCCTGCTCTCCGCGGAAGAGCTAACCGATTTGATAGTGGGACGAGGAACCTATCCCAGCAGGAAGACAGTGTCCAGCAGCCTTCATTCAGACTGTGACTATGTGACGCTGGGCAACCAGGGAGGCGAGGAGGCGGACCACACGGAGCAGGAGCTACCCCCGGCACCGCCGCCACCCTACAGTGCGCGGCACGAGAAGACCGGTCTGTGTGGGCCACCAATTTCCAAGCCAGTGCCACCCAAACCCATCGCAGTGGTGGCTCCCAAACCGGAGGCACCGAGCTGCAGCCCACCCGCACCGCCAGCACCACTTCCTGCACCGCCAGCGGCGCTACGTCGCCGAGATCCACCGCCATATCCCAGCTCCAGCAAGCCCAGGCCCACATCCCTGATATCTGTGAGTTCCTCGGCCAATCCAGCGCCCAGTGCAGCCGGTTCGATGAGTTCCCTAAAGTCCGAGGAGGTGACGGCTAGATTCATTACCACAAGACCCCAGATCAGCATCCTGAAGGCCCACACCAGCCTCCTACCCGACGGGGCCAAGCCCAGCTATGCGTCACCGCATCACTGCTCCTCGGCGGCCTCCTCCAGTGGCTCGGTGTGCAGCCACCAGCTGAGTCAGCAGTCGCTCCACAATTCCAACTATGCTGGCGGATCGCAGGCTTCACTGCATCATCACCACATGCCGCCGCCGGCCCATCATCGGCACTCAGGATCGGCCGCCATTGGGATACCCATAGTTCCTTACGGGCTGCACAAGAGCACGGCCTCGCTCCACCACCAGCAGTCGTGCGTCCTCCTGCCGGTGATCAAGCCACGTCAGTTTCTGCCGCCGCCACCACCCAGTTTGCCCAGGCAGCCGCCACCACCGCCGCCGCCCAGTCACTCGCACCTGGCAGCAAGTCATCTCTATAGCCGGGAGCTGGCCAGGAAGCAACTGGAGCTGTATCAGCAGCAGCTGTACAGCGACGTGGACTACGTGATCTATCCCATTCAGGATCCGGCTGTTAGCCAGCAGGAGTATCTGGATGCCAAGCAGGGCTCATTGCTGGCAGCCATGGCCCAGGCAGCGCCACCGCCGCCCCATCATCCCTATCTGGCCATGCAGGTGGCACCGGCGATATACAGGAGCACACCCTACCTGGCCCTGTCCACCCACTCGAGATACGCCTCCACCCAGAATTTGTCCGATACCTATGTACAGCTGCCGGGAGCCGGCTACTCACCACTGTACTCGCCCTCAATGGCCAGCCTGTGCTCCTCCTATGAACCACCACCGCCGCCGCCACTTCATCCGGCTGCTCTGGCAGCAGCAGCAGCGGCTGCCTCGGCAAATGCAGGCGCGGGCGCCACCTCCTCGATGTTTGCACGATCGCGATCAGACGATAATATTCTGAATTCGCTCGACTCGCTGCCCAAGGGGAAGCGTCTGCCGCCACCACCACCGCCGCCCTACGTGAACAGGCGGCTCAAGAAGCCACCAATGCCGGCACCCAGTGAAAAGCCACCTCCAAGTGAGTAAAAGTAGTGACAGGGAGAAGGCTCTATCAAGGCTATAACGAATCGTATCCTTCCCCTTACAGTACCCTCGAAGCCCAGTGCCAGCATGATGAACCTCTTGCCGCCCCGGAAACCACCTACGCTGAATCCTCACCATGCCAACTCGCCGCTGACGAAGACCTCCAGTGGAGCCCAGTGGGCAGGTGAGCGTCCACGGCCAGACTTGAGCCTCGGTCTGGGCCTTAATCGGGGCAACAACAGCATACTGGCCCAGCTACAGGCCTCAATGGCCGCCGAGTCTCAGGCCCAGGCTCAGGCTCAGGCTCTGGACATTGCCCTGTTGCGGGAGAAGAGCAAGCACCTGGATCTGCCGCTCATCTCGGCTCTTTGCAACGATCGTTCCCTGCTGAAGCAGACGAAGGTGATGGTCAACCCGAAGACGGGCCAAGAGATACCCAGCTCCAGTTCGCAGTCCTCGACGGGTGCCGCCACCACCAACGGTAGCAACTCGCATTCAACGGGAGGAGGCGGTACCCTGAGCAAGGTGAGGAAGGGATCGACCGTAAGCCATCGACATCCGCAGGACAAGTTGCCGCCATTGCCGGTGCAACAGTTGGCGGAGGCCAATAACTATGTGATCGATCCCGCAGTGATGATGAAGCAACAGCAGCAGCAGCAGCAGCACAAGACCAGCTAGACTCGCCCGGAAACGGAAGTGGAGGATGGAAACGGATGTCAAGCCGACACTCTTCTCTCTAGTTCGATGTGCGCGCTGTCGTGTATCTGTGTGTACCGGGTGTTGGGTTTTTTTCTGCGTTCCGAAAATTTGCATAGACCGCGAAAAAAAGAGTTGTAAGGAGTAAAAAGGTGTTCGTTCGATCACAGTGTTTCGGATGGGTAGCAAGGGGAATTCCCCGAAAAGGTTAACAGCAGCAGAATAGTAAAAGACGTCGAACTAACAGAAGCCAGTTAACAGAAAAGGGAAAGCATAGTGGACCAGAGTTTCTGAAAGACATGCAAGAAGAAATTATGTCCTTTAGATATATATAGTACAGGATCAAGCCAGTTTATATATCCAACTACAACTAACAGCAACAGCAACCACCTTGTAACAGAGAGTCAATTATACATTCCATAACATTACGTAACAGTAACAAGAAGCCAGTTTAAAGTTAACAGCCAACAGCCGCCACTTAACAACTTAACAGAGTCAAGGACACGTTAACACCAGGACGAAAGCGAGAGCAACTTAACCTCAAATACGAATATTCAAATAATCAGAGAACCCAGTCTAGTCACTTAAGGGAATCGGTAGCTTAACACAGGTCACAAAAGGACATGGACACCACAACGGAAATACAGAGGGAAATATATATACAAATATATGAATGGAAAGAGAGATAGAGCCCAGGAGCAGGAAAACAATACTCAAGTATAAAATACGACCACTACTTACTTAATTAACCAACTAAAGCATAGTAGGAACCTTAGTCTTAGCTGCGAACAAAAACCTAGTTAGGCCAGAAACGCGAATACTTAAAAACTAACTAAACTACTTCCGCCCAAACAACTGTGATTGATTTTTATTTAAACACTTACACTAACTTAACTCGTACAACTAACTATTTTTAGTCAGCAAGAACAACGCAAATGCCACAAAACTATGCAAATTTTTTAGTACGTTAAGAAGACCACCCCTCACATATATACTCACAACGAATCGGGCCAGTGATGGTATAGTGTTCTCTTTAACCCGGTTCATATATACTATGTATCGGGTTGTAACCCCTTTCGATCGCCGGCCCCGAAGGGAACTAAAGAATTTCAAGAGTGCCTAGACTTGCCCCAAAAATCCCCACCGTAGCGAGTAAGCGTAAAAAGCTAGATAGATGGATGTTTTATTGATTATTATTTTTTATATCCACACTTTGTTTATTTTATTATTTTTTTGTTCGTTTATTAACCCCCACCAATGTGAGAGTGTGCGTGCAAAAATGATTTCGAGTTGTCACAAATATTTGCGTAGATTTTTCTCGACTAAAAGTCTATGGCTAAATTGAGGAATGTGATCTTTGAGAAAATGTTAAATTTTTTGCCATATATCTTACATATATATATACATAAATATATATATAAATCAATATATATATATATGCATATACAATTATACTTAATTTATTATTATTACAAAACAAACATTCAAAGTAAAGCATTTATAAAACAAATTCGTATACGATAAGTAAAGAAAGTCCTTTGAGTTGTAAAAATTATAATTTGCAAAAAATAAAATGAAAAATTCAAATGTAAAGTGTGTGATTTAAATTACAATAAGTAAATCTCCGTTTAGTTTGAGTTGTCAACTTGGATTATAGATTAGGGAAATAGGGTTTGCTATCACAAAATGCAAGTGTCACTTACATATTACATAACGCGTAACGCAACGAAACGAACAACAATCTCTGCGCGACTATATAGAATGAACTAGGAGTGTTATCTTTTCCTGGCACTTTGGGCTATGCTTAAAATCTACACCTAAGATACCTTAGTTGGTGGCCAGCATGTCCTCATCGTCGGCAGCTCGTCGCACCCATCTCTTGGTCAGCGTCAGCACGACGCCGGTGACAAGAAAGACGCTGGCAAAGCCTATCAAGCAATAGCCAAAGATAAGGCCATAGCTGGACAGATTGATGGCCAACTGGAAAAACATAAAATAAGCTTTCAAAAGATTCTTAAACTGCATTAGAAAATTAAACTCACCTTGGCCTTGGAAGCCAATTCGGAGGATAGCTCCGCGTACTGATCGAACCAGAACATGGGCATCAGCACCTTTGGCACGCCGCGGTAAATGCTGCAACAAATATTTAATTAATAATCAAAAATAAAGAGTTTCTTGTGGCTTTTTACTCACTCGAAATCATCGTCGGGCTCGATCATCATGTTGATCTGGATGCGACCGTGCACCTGGACAGGCACACCCGTTGTCGGCTCCACTGCCAAGAAGAACTCGTGCTTGTCCTTCTCCGGCTTCATGCCGCTCACTGCATCGATGTACGACTGATCGGCGAGATAGAAATGCGGGAAGGAGGAGTATATAGGAGCCTTGTCGCGACACGCTTTGCACTCCACCACACCGGTTTTCGGGCACTCTTCGAAACGCTCGAGATCGCAGAAGCACGCCTGGTTAGGGTAATTCTCTCCAGAATCCAGAGTTTCCTCAGTGCCCACCCATTTTGTGGCTGTCAGTCCATGATTCTCGTATGTGCCCTGCGGCCGCAGGTTCATGAACCGACAGGCATCGGTGGCGAATATCGTGATCTCATCCTTGACGTTCATCTTGGGCGGGAAGAGGTCACCAGTGGTGCCATTAACCACGCCACAGGGCATCTCATAGAAGCCCGTCTCCGGTTTGTTATTCCAGTGGGTAAGCCGTCCTAAATTGGAAATGTCATCGGTGCCCGTGTGAATGGTGAATAGACCGTCATAAGTCAGCGATTCATTGCGATCCGCCAGCCAGCCGAAGCGTGTGTACGGAATGTCAATCATGGAGGTATTAAATAGATTCAGGAAATCCGTAAGATTATCCTGATAGCCATCAAAGATCCACTCTCCCACCGGCTTCGTGGTGTATAGCTCTCCGCCCTCGTGGTTCAGCATAAAGTTAATAATTTTCTTGACAATTTTTCGTTGATTCCGCATTTCATCCGCAACCGTGGCGGTGATGGCATGAGCAGCCGTCACCAGGTCGTCCAGGGTGCCATTAGATCGCTCCGGATCAAAGAACCAGGTGCGACGCTCGTAGTACGCCACCGTGGCATTATCGAAGAACGTGTAGTTCTCCTTCTTGTGTTTCTCTAAAAATGTGTACGGACCCATTTCCACAAAGTTGGGCTTGACATTTGGATTCCTGATTTCCTCCGGATTCGTCCAGTTGAACATGTAGAAGCTCAGGTAAATGGGTATGGGTGCCTCCAGCCAGCTGTCATAGGCATCAGTACCAGGCTTCAAGGTGAGGCCCTGGATTGGATAAAAATAGTGAGTTATTAAAGATTTGTTAAAGGTGATCAGAAATTATTTGAATTTGAATGGAAAAGGCTTTATTTCCTGAAGAGGTTTTAATCGTATTAATTATAGATCCCACCCTACATATATGGATGTGATTGCTATAATCCAAAAGCTTAACGCCGAAGCTATTGATAAGATCAAACGTTTAAAAATATCAGTTAATCTGGTCAGGGAATAACCGAAGTATAGTATTTAAAGCAGATAAGTTTAGTTTTGGAATGGTGGACAGGTTGTTATATATTATTATCATTTTACCACTGGGTCATAATATCCCAAACTTTAAGTTGAGTATGCAGATGCATTATTCTTATAAAACCTAACACAGAAATGCTTTCTGATATAAAATTATAACATTTTTGGCTTAAATATGATAAATTTATAATTCGATCACTGATCAAAACTGCAACTGTTGACAATAAAGTAGTAAACTTGGAAATTATTTTCATTTTAAGTTTTACTCAACTCAAGTGATATAATCTCTTTTATAGCTCACTTTACGGCTTAAGCTGTGCTGTAATCAAAGAAAAACTATATATTGTTGCAAAAATTTACCAGAAAACATTTCCTACATTTATAAACGCGGTTTTAGCTTAAGAAATAATTTTCATTTTCATTTTTCATTTAACCAAAATATACTTACATCCTCGACGAGACTATCGGCCAAATTTGGCCAGAAGACCACGGTGAGAATTCCCAGGACCAGGAAAAGCGAGCCCAGGCCAAAGACCCAGGCCTTGCGTTGAGTTTCCCCGCAGCAGCTGCAGCACATGACGGAGGAAGATTCACGGATTCAGGAAGCAACAACTGGAACAGAACTGATCTTTCCCTACGCGCTGCGTTGCATCTGGAACGGGAGCAGAGTTCATTGGGTTATTTTCGCACTTGCATAATCTGTGGCAATAAAATGTCCGTATCGCGGCTTATCGCAGGAATTTTTATTCCTCATTTTCCTAGCACCCAGCAGAGCTGCTGCCCCTAAAAATAATAATAATAATCCACCATGGCCGGCCTATCGATGTGTTTTTCTGCCCCTGCTTAAGTATTTCGATAAGCCTGTACGATTAAGTCCGTTTTAGTTATTTTTTGACTGATGTCTACGTCCGTTGCAGTCGAAGATTACGCCGGGACAGTGTCCACTTGGAGCCAAGTACAGATATCCGGAGATCTCGTAAGTTGACAAGCACTTGCCACCGGGCATAGGAACTTACGCAAATTCCCAACTGAAGGAGGACAGCAAGGTGCTCCAGTTGCGAAGGAACTCTATATGGAATTATCACAACCGCACGCGTCCCCTGCAAGGGTGAAACTGTTTGCCAGCGGGTATTTCATTTGGTTTTAAATGGAACCACTTGAGGTTTTACTACTTGGTTCACTAACTAATCTCTGGATTTTGCTAATCTTGAATGAATTGCATGCCAGATAGGCGGAACACTTTCTAAAGGGCAAATCAGTAGCTTAAATGTAGTTTAACTGGCTTTTGATGATTCGTATCTATGCGTTTATATGTATATTTAAAATTGTGTCTGTTATCGAAGACTTTATTCATTCTTTGTATGGAATTTAATACGACGATATATGCTAAAAGAATTACTCATTTCATTTTCCTTTTCCCATCGGAGAGTACTTACAAGTTGCATCGCTCTAATGTTACTCAATGAATGGACTTTCCATGGCCTACGATTGACACAGATCGAGAGCTTGAAATGTGAGATAAGCTGGCAATATGTTTATCTTTCTTTTTAAACGCAATTCTTTGGTTTTTTACGCTTGGTCAAGATGTTTGGTACACGCAAACGCTCCCAAGGGGTTCCTATTTATGGCTCCGATAAGATAAAACGTGCCGCCCGGAGAGATATTGACGGTTGCGATTAGCCGGTTGACATATGTTTAGCCACTAATATGTAGATTACTTGCCACTATTCTAGAGGCTTGCCAATGTAATAGGAACGGGGCCTCTTTGATATCAATAGAAGTCTAGTGCATATCGTATTGCAAGTATAATTCTCTGCTTAAACCATCCTTTGTTTCTCATTCATTGTCGCCCTGAGTCAGAACTTGTTTATTTGTCCGATTATTGGGCTATGCACTCGTCTTTGTTCCGAGGCTGATAACGAGCAAAAAAAAGGGGGTCTGAAACCACAGTAAAATTTACCTAAATTGATCTTAAGAGAGTCGGGTTTTTAAGGTTTTTCGAAAAAATCATGTTATTTTTTATTACGTTTATAAATCAGCATACTCAATTTAAAATTTAAAAGTTTTTAACGATGTAACCTTTTTTTTTTTTTTAATTTTCAATATTTTATTTATAACCGGACATGGCAAGATCGACTCGATGCTGATCAAGAGTATTTATGATTCTAAGGGTCGGAAATTACCCCTTCACAGAGTTAGAAGGTTATGACTAAAATTAAGGGTATAATTAACTAATTTAAAATTGAATTATTTTCTAAGCAGAATAAATAGTATCTGGCATTCCCTAAGAAGTCTCCACTGTGAAGCTGTGTGTCATCCCGACTTTCTAATGAATATTTTGCCCTATTTAAATCATAAACTCGGTGATATTTTGCGAAGGGAGAGTTCAAAGTGTGATGATATCATCAGGCGGATAATAAGCTAATTAACACGTATTATTACATGCGAATTACTCACCTTTTCTAAGGCAAAACTGCAATTGCGTTGTCTTCCAGCTGTTTTTCTTGTTTTTGTTTTTGGTGCGGTGGCCTTGACTTTTAATACTCGCTATTAGTGGATAAATTATGTTTTCCAAGGCTGGCTGCTTAATGCTTAGCTCTAAAGCTTACGAAGATGCTAAAATTGGTAAAACTAGAGGTAAATAGGCCTGAATTGAAAGGGATTATTTAAATTAAATTACCTTTACCTGAGGGAGCTCCGGCGTAGGCGTATTTTCCATTGACCGGTAACTATTTTGAAGGCACTTGCGTGTTTATTGGATGTCCAGCGAAGCGATTGAGAACTTCCAGCAGCAGTCAGTCAACTGGTGGCGGTCGTACTTTGCTGGACTAATTGGATTAACAATTGTTTTCGTTTTTGCTAATTTGCTTTTTTTGGTCGAGTGTGCCCGCCGTTCTTTTCCCTGATTTAACCACATGCCCGGAAAGGTCTTACTTGATTGGCAGAAACTATTTTCTTGTTTTTCCCCTGTTCAATGGCATTTCCCGTGTTTGAGGAACGATGGCTTTTCACGCATAGTGTAGAAATTCGAGAAAGCCCCAAATTAAAAAGTTTCCCTCGAAAATGTCTTCTGTTAACTGTCTCCTATCAGACTCTTACAACAGCGTGTTAACAGCATCAGCTGGGAATGTTATTAAACCGTGGCAGAGCGGGCACACTATTCTTCAAACACAAAAAAAAAACAAGAAATCTTGTAAATAAATTAAGAGTAAACTGCATCGCAGGATAAAATAAAAAAACCATGGATATGTAAGCGTGAAAATTGATATTGTTTCAAATAAATGAATGTATTTCAATTTCAGTAAAATATGTCGAGTGTGTTTGGAAAAGTCGGAAAGCATGGTCAATATATTTGATCATATCGGCATTTTAGACAGAAGGATTTCTATAGCGGATATGATAACCCAGTGTACAGGTTTTCAGATTTTTAAAGCGGATCCATTTCCCAAAACCATATGTGCGCCTTGCAAGCAGGATGCCACAAATGCATATGAGATAAAACGACTTTACGAGACGAGCCACAAGGTCTTCTGCCAAATGGGAAAGGATATGAAGAAGGCGAGAAAGAAATATCTGTCTACGAGGACCCTGAAATTAAAAAGAACCCTTACAAAGTGAAGAACGGTTTCGAAAAAGGTACGACAGAGATCGACAAATTAAGAGAAGATGATTTTCGAGTAGAGAACGAGCCGATTGAAGAGGACGTATTCGAGGAAGATCACCTCCATATTTTGGACTGTGATGCAGATCAGCTAGACTTTCAAGTAAAAACTGAGGAAAGTAAAGAATATTTTGAAACAGATGATCATAAGATTACTATTGATCACGAGGATAAGTCAAAACATCCACACATTTGTTCCTATTGCCAGAAGTCCTTTTTACATAAATGCAATATGCTGCTGCACATGCGAATCCACACAGGAGAACGTCCTTACAAGTGTTCTTACTGCCCGAAATCCTTTGCACTTAATGGCACTCTTCAGAAACATATCCGGACCCACACAGGAGAGAGGCCTCACAAGTGTTCCCACTGTGAGAGTTCCTTTAAAACGATCGCACCTCTGCAGTCACACATCCGGTCCCATACAGGAGAACGACCTTACAAATGTTCCGATTGTCAAAAGACTTTTGTACAAAATCAACATCTTCAGGATCACAGGCGGACCCACACAGGAGAACGACCGTTCAAGTGTTCCCAGTGCCAAATGACTTTCTCGTACAAACAAAGTCTTCAGAAACATATCCGGACCCACACAGGAGAACGGCCCTACAAGTGTTCTGAGAAGTCCTGCAATGCGTCATTTTCACGGATCGATAGCCTTTTGGAACATAGCCGTTGCCATACAGGAGACCGGCCTTTCAAGTGCTCACACTGCAAAAAGAGTTTTACGTTAAAACGCTATCTTCAGAAACACATTAAAATCCACACATAAGAGCAGTCTCCTAACAAGTGAGCTTTGGACCAACAATAAAAACAAATGGAAATAATCAAAGGAATTGCTTTAAAAACAATGTTGATCACTGTGAGATAGAACTATATTAATATGAAAACAATTTATTATAATAATATAGAATAAGATAAGATAGTTTTTGTAAATTGAAAAGTATTTTAAAGAGTGAAATGCCTGCTCATTAAAGAGAATACTCTGCGCTTGCTGGATTTGCATCAACCTTTAAAATCTTTAATTCCTGTACATATCAAAACCTGTTAAAGTGGTAAGATAAAACCTTATTTAAAATTAAGAGAAGAATATTAGTTCTATTATATCAAACAAAATAGTACATGGTATGCCGGTAGCATCAAAAATATTGACCATGCATTCCCACAACTCACAAGCTCGACAAATGTCCCTGAGAAGAAAATAAAGACCGATTTCTCAAAAGAGTATAAAGTATTCACGCTTACCCGTCCATGACTTTATTCCGCAGAATGTTTTTATATCCAGCGTTTGCAGTAATCCCTTGTTTTATTTAGTAAAAGCTAAATTTGTTTGTTTTGGTTTTGTTGACCGCAGAATAGTGTGCCCGCTTCTAGTATGTAGAAATATACCATAAAAAATTGGATGCAAGGCCTCTGAAAGTTCCATATAGTCATCTCGCTCACACTTCTGTAAATCCCTATTTTGTTGACAAATCTTTAATGAAAACTCTTCTTAATGAAGGCGTTTATCAACAGCATAGTGGTTGATGGGACATTTCTTACGGCAGAGAAAATTCACGGCAGCGTTTTTCGGCAGTTGTAGATATTTCTATCAATGTAAGCCCATTAATTTCTGGCACCACTGGCAGGCCACCAGGCTGGCAACCCTGGCCAGCCGGCAGCCAATCAGGGCGTCCCACGAGCACAGGCGACAACTACAAAATTTTTGCCAGCATTTAAGTTTCATTTATTCCGGAAAAACAGCATGAATTACTGCCATTGAGCGAGCCAGAAAAACAGAAAACACGAAAATGCAGGTTATTAAGTACGTGGTGCTGGTGCAGCTGGCCCTGCTGCTCGTGGACGAAGCGCTAGCCGGTCGGGACTTTTACAAAATTCTGAACGTGAAGCGCAACGCCAACACGAACGAGATTAAGAAGGCGTACCGTCGCCTGGCCAAGGAACTGCATCCGGACAAGAACAAGGACGACCCGGAGGCCTCGACCAAGTTCCAGGATCTGGGCGCTGCCTATGAAGTGCTGTCCAATGCAGACAAGCGCAAGACCTATGATCGCTGCGGCGAGGAGTGCCTTAAGAAGGAGGGCATGATGGACCACGGCGGTGATCCCTTCTCCAGCTTCTTTGGGGACTTCGGTTTCCACTTTGGCAATGGTGATCCCCACCAACAGGACACGCCACGCGGCGCGGACATTGTCATGAACATGTACGTGTCCCTGGAGGAGCTCTACTCGGGCAATTTCGTGGAGATTGTGCGCAACAAGCCAGTGATGAAGCCCGCCTCGGGCACGCGCAAGTGCAACTGCCGCCAGGAGATGGTAACCCGCAATTTGGGTCCCGGCCGCTTCCAAATGATCCAGCAAACCGTCTGCGATGAGTGCCCCAACGTGAAGCTGGTCAACGAGGAACGCACCCTCGAAATCGAGGTGGAGCAAGGCATGGTCGATGGCCAGGAGACACGGTTTGTGGCCGAGGGTGAACCACATATCGATGGCGAACCGGGTGATCTCATTGTGCGCGTACAACAGATGCCCCATCCGCGATTCCTTCGCAAGGAAGACGATCTCTACACCAATGTGACCATCAGCCTGCAGGACGCCCTCGTTGGCTTCTCCATGGAGATTAAACATCTGGACGGCCACTTAGTGCCTATTACGAGAGAGAAGATTACGTGGCCGGGCGCTAGGATCCGCAAGAAGGGCGAGGGAATGCCCAACTTTGAGAACAACAACCTCACGGGCAATCTGTACATAACCTTCGACGTGGAGTTCCCAAAGAAGGACTTAACGGAGGAGGACAAAGAAGGTGAGTGTCCATTATAATTAATTAATATTCAATTATTGACAATTGTTCCCATTCTTTATTAGCGCTCAAGAAAATACTCGACCAATCGTCCATTAACCGCATCTACAATGGACTGTGAAACTGCAACGCTCGACGGCTGTACTCTAGTATTTAAAAATGCCTAGCTGGGGGCGGCTTCGACCTGGAAACGCCCCCCTAATTCAAGCAACGACTTTGTTCAAAAAAGTTGTTGCGATAAAAACCAATTTAATTTTAGTTTAGAATTTTGTAAAATAGTAAAAAGCGAAGAAAAAAGAACGGAACTACTGGCGATTCTTGGCTAACACAAAAGGAATTGCAAAGACGAACAACCAACAAACAAAAAATAAATCAGATTTCAATTACAGCCTTTATCTATTTATTTAGTAAAATAAAAGATTAATTAAGAATTTAACATTAAACTCGAAATTAAAATTAAATTAATCGGGATATCGATACATTTTTCCGGAAGCAGCCTTGCAAACAGCTGATGTTAGCTGGCGCAGGACAATGGTTAAAAGAGAGAGAGAGAGAGAGAGAGCAGCACAGGAAGTGGCGAAAGTTCGCCTTCAGAGAGCGAAGAAATTTTCATCAGTGCGGACGTAGTACAAGCTTAGTCTTCTCAGGCTTTTATTTTTTTACAAGCAAGCTAAACCAAAACTAACAGAATCAAATCACTGGAGCAGCTCGAATTGTTTTTACTGTACTTGCCTTACAATCCTAAGCACCTGCCCTCCCGAAAAAGCACCACTAGCTGAACATAACCTAGAAAGAAAAGCGAAGGAAAAACATTCAAAGGATTTCCTTTCACCTGCGGCCAGAGAATAAAAAGACAACAACATCGACAACAAATACATAGTATGAATGTCGCCTAAATATCATCATTTCGAGGTGAGTCGTGAGGGAGCTCCTTCTTGTAACTCCCATTTCCCCGGGTCCTGCGACCACACTCTTCTCCCTGTTTTTCCTATCGATTTTCTGCGGGGTTGTCCCTTCAACTTTAAGTGACCCACAAAAAAAAAAAAAAAAAAAAAAAACAAGGGAGCAAAGGCACGGCAGGGTGGTTTTAGGTCAGCCGGCAAAGTTGCGTGCGGACTCATCCATTCGCATTTGATGCTTTATTTCCAGATTGCACTGGTCTACTTTCTGCTGTTGATACCATGGCCGCCGACGAATGTCCTCAGGATGCTCTGTTCGCGAGATAACAGCCGGCTGGTGCGGAAGATAGTGCGCTCCAAGTGGACACCTATTTTGGACAAGCATCAGGTTAGTCCACCAAGTCTTTGGATTTAATTTGTAATTATTGATTTATATGGGTCACAGGTTAAGCTACCCCTTGAGTGCCCGCTGCATCCTTTCCGGGATGTATTTGCCCCCAGACAGGATGCCAAGCAAAGGGATCGACCCACTCAGTGGACGTGCAGGAAATGTGGCAAGAGCTTCTACCAGGAGAAGCACTTGGATCTACACTTTGAAACGCGCCACAAGAGCATCATCAATGAGGTGAGATTATAGCGAGGATTAGGGTTTTATAATATCGATATAAAAAGTAAAATACATTATATGGAAAGTTTATATTATTAAGAAAACATCGTTTATTGATATGTCGAAATTTTAGATCAATATATAGATATTTTAAACCCCTGCAGGGTTTTACAATTTTAGTCAGAAGCTTGAAAAACAGTGAAGGAGTCGTTTCTGACCCAATAAATCATATATATTATTGATCAGCATAAATAGCTGAATCGATCTATGTCCGGTTCAAAAAAAATTTTGAAAATTTTTTGGATCTTTGCAAAAATATATAAGGGGTTAAAATTATCATTAAAATTTTCAAAAATCTACAAAATATTTGTTAGACATGCAAAAATAGGCATAGAAAAACTTTCCGAATTGAATTTAATGCATTTTTGGCTTAATTATGATATTTGAATGTCTTCGATTTACCTTTAAAAATTAGGATATAACAATGTATATATAAAAATATTTTTTTTAGGTATACAAAGAAATGATTTTATGCTTATTTTTGGCTTCTCAAAGTGACTTTATTGTTTGTCGATTTTAGCAAAAGATATTCTGTATATACATATGTTAAGAAGCACCTCATAGAAAACTACTTACAGAAGACTATAATACAAGGCTTAAAAATTAAAAAAATTAAATTAAAAATTAAATTAAAAATTAAATTATATTAATTTTCTGTTCTGCGACAGGCGGAGGATGCCGTTTGCCTGGCCGACTTCTGCGACATCATGCGCTGCGAGGTTTTGAGACGGAGGATGCGTCGAGTCTTAAGTTCGGGGACCAGCACATTGTCACGGACATCGAGGTCTGGGGCGACTCCCTGGGTCAGAACTCCGCGTTGGCCAAAGCGAATGCCGCCTACTTGAGCTTAATACCAAGGTGAGTGATGTCTCCATTCCGACCGGTAATTATTGATATAACTCTTTCACTCTTTGCAGAACTTCCACATTGGGTGCCTCGCGTGCCGCCAAAGTACAAAACCGTCAATTACTCCAAGACAAGCCAAGCCAGGCCAGCAGCAAGCAGGATCAGCCGCCGGCAGGTGAGCGAACACATCCCCATTCCCACCACCACCACCACCAGAACTCCCACCACCTCCCTCGAGAGCGTCCATCCACCACAGCCAATCCCCTTCGCCTAGATGCAACACCGGAGGACGGCTCGGCGGCCCGGCCCAAGTCGGCGGGCGAGAAGCTCCTCCACAAGCTCAAGGAGCTGGGCAAGGCGCACCTGAAGTCCGCCGCTGCGGAACCAGAGGCCAGCAGGCAGAACGAAACGGATGATGATGATGACGAGGAGGAAGAGGAGGGCAGCGGGAAAGCCGAGGGCAGTGGCCAGTCCGTTGATCCGGCCAAAATGGAGGAGGGATCGGGTGCCAATGGGAATGGCAACAAGGCCAGGGCCAACTGCAAGCCGGATGAGCTGAGTAAGCTTAAGACCCGGTGCGAGCTACTGCTGAGGAGCTGCATCGGTGGCCTGTTGCTGTCCATGTCGGATCAGGCCTTCAAGGAGATGGAAGGTGAGTGTCGAAAGCAGTTTTAAGTTAGCTGATAGATGAAGTACCTTCTTTCCTGCAGAGGAGATGAACAAGGCTGTGTGCTGGTATCTGACCTGCGATCGCTATTGGGAGGATGGCCCCTTGGAGCCCCGAGCATTCCCCTGGGGCCTGATCGTGATCCTGATCTTTGTACTGTCGACTGGCATCTGCTTCTGCTACTACATCATCTGGATCCTTTCGAGTAAGTGTGCGCCGTGTACCGGGCCTTCTCCCATTGAGATTGAGCGAACCTAAGTCATCTGTTTCAGCTCCGAAGAGACGACAATCAACGCCAACCACTATTACGGCCAGGGAGCCATCGGCGGCAGCGGCGGGAGCATTTACATGCCCGGAGCAGCAGTGGGTCATCACTACCATGTGGATTATGCCACGCGGCGCGACCTCGACCTGGACGCCGGCGGGATAGCTGCTCAGCAGCAGCATCAGCAGCAGCAGCAACATCAGCAGCAGCTCCTCCAAGAGCAGCAGTTCTATTACCAGCAGCAACAGCAACAACAGCAAGTGGCCTCCGGCCGGGATTTGTATCCGGATCCGGTGCAATACCATCGGCACAGTCCGCGGCATTACATCGGCGATCAGCGTCCGGTGGTGGCTGTGGGCACACCCACCCAAGGGGCCGTGCGCACCAGCTCCTCCAACGCCAACACGCCATTGCACCACCGCCAGCACCCGGGTCATCCACCCCACCTGCAGCATCGTCACTCGACGAGCCTGGCCTACCCACAGGACATTTTAGACCGACGCGACTATACAAATAGCTCTTCGCGCCCCATCGCCACCAGCATGGTGGCTGGTTCAGGATCGGTGCTTGCAGCAGCAGCAGTGGCATCCGGATCAGGAGCTCCTGGCGATGCCCAGCAGCGGCACTACAACACGCATCCGCGGCCGCTGGAGACGAGGCACCGCCATGTGGGCTCCTCGCAGCAATCCCTACGTGCCTCCGCCTCCACGCACGAGATTGTGCAGCAGGAGGCGGGTCTGGGTCAGAACGAGCACTACATCTATGTGACCTATCCGCCGGATCTCAAAAAGCGATACTTCGAGTAGTCGCAGTCGCAGTCGCAGTCAGCCGAGCGCAGGTTGGATGCTTCAGTGGATCGGTTGGGTCCAGTACTATGGAGACTGTGTTGCAGAGCCTTCGTATGAGAGGAGAGATCGAGTGTCGGACAGAGAGACCAAAGAGCCCTCGGAAGGAGAGCCAAGAAACGAAACCAAAGCCAGAGATCAGGATGCATGATCTGGAGGAGATGGAGAAGATATATAGAGAAAAATTAGGCGGCGGACTGGCCGTCAACCTAACCCCAAAAAGTTGGTTTTTTACTTTTAGCCTGCAAATTCTAGATTTGTGAACTGTGCTGTTCTTTTTAAATTCTACAAAATAAGTTGCAATATTTCTGTACAATAAAAAATGCAGTTTTCTTTCATGGGGATAGGTGGTAAAAAACCTTCTGAAGGTGTTTTAATATATTCTTACGAAAGAATATATGCGTTTGAGGTTTCTTAGGGTTGCATTCCATCTTACAAATACCTCTTTGCATCACTGTATTAGTTTTTGTTTATATTTTAAATACCATTTAAACCAGTGCGTATACGAAATGTTGTAGGACTCTGCTCAGTGCTTCCAGTCTAAATTTAGCACAAAGGTAAGCCATGTATTGGCACTGTCTTCTGTTGCAAATTTAAAAATCACAAATACACATTTAACCTTTCCAGCAGTTATAAATCAAATACTTCAAAATCTCATAACAATGCCAAAAATGCATTAACTTCAATTCGGAAAACTTTCCTATGCACGTTTTATTATGGCAATAAAACTGCATACTCAATTTTAAATGCAAATTTTTGTTGATTTTGACAATTTTGATGAAGTAACCCCTTATCGTTTTTTGCAAAAATCGATACAATTTCCAAAAAATTTTTTCAACCGGACATACTTAGATCGATTCAGCTGTTGATGCTGATCAAGAATATATATGATTTATGGGATCGGAAATGACTCCTTCACAGTTTAACAAGCTTGTGACTAAACTTACAATACCACACTTTGTCGGTATTTGTCTATATTTTATAAACAATTTTGTCAATAAATCAAATTTTAGAAATCTCATAACTAAGCTAAAAATGCATTAATTGCAATTCGGAAAACTTTCCTATGCACGTTTTTATTATGGCAATAAAACTGCTTACTCAATTTACTCGGACCTGAGTTTTTTAAAGTTCTACAAGCTTCTGACTAAACGTACAATACCACACGTTTAATCGGTATTTGTCTATATTTTATAAACAATTTTGTCAATAAATCAAATTTTAAAAATCCCATAACTAAGCTAAAAATGCATTAATTTCAATTCGGAAACCTTTTCTATAAAGGTTTTTTATTGCAATAAAACTGCATACACAATTTACTCGGAACTGAGTCCTTTAAAGTTCTACAAGCTTCTGACTAAACGTACAATACCACACGTTTAATCGGTATTTGTCTATATTTTATAAACAATTTTGTCAATAAATCAAATTTTAGAAATCTCAAACCTAAGCTAAAAATGCATTTATTTCAATTCGGAAACCTTTTCTATAAACGTTTTTATTATGGCAATAAAACTGCTTACTCAATTTACTCGGACCTGAGTCCTTTAAAGTTCTACAAGCTTCTGACTAAACGTACAATACCACACTTTTAATCGGTATTTGTCTATATTTTATAAACAATTTTGTCAATAAATCAAATTTTAAAAATCTCATAACTAAGCTAAAAATGCATTAATTTCAATTCGGAAAACTTTCCTATGCACGTTTTATTATGGCAATAAAACTGCATACTCAATTTAAAATGAAAATTTTTGTCGATTTTTGACAATTTTAAGGATGTAACCCCTTATCGTTTTTTGCAAAAATCGATCAAATTCGGAAAACTTCCTATGCACGTTTTATTATGGCAATAAAACTGCATACTCAATTTAAAATGAAAATTTTGTCGATTTTGACAATTTTAATGATGTAACCCTTACTTTTTCTTTAAGTTTTTTGCAAAAATCGATCAAATTTTCAAAAAAAATTTCAACCGGACATACTTAGATCGATTCAGCTGTTCATGCTGATCAAGAATATATATGATTTATGGGTCGGAAATGACTCCTTCACAGTTTAACAAGCTTCTGACTAAACGTACAATACCACACTTTTAGTGGTATTTGTCTATATTTTATAAACAATTTTGACAATAAATCAAATTTTAAAAATCCCATAACTAAGCTAAAAATGCATTAATTATAATAATTCGGAAACCTTTTCTATAAACGTTTTTATTATGGCAATAAAACTGCATACTCAATTTACTCGGAACTGAGTCCTTTAAAGTTCCACAAGCTTCTGACTAAACGTACAATACCACACTTTTAGTCGGTATTTGTCTATATTTTATAAACAATTTTGTCAATAAATCAAATTTTAAAAATCCCATAACTAAGCTAAAAATGCATTAATTTCAATTCGGAAACCTTTTCTATAAACGTTTTTATTATGGCAATAAAACTGCATACTCAATTTACTCGGAACTGAGTCCTTTAAAGTTCCACAAGCTTCTGACTAAACGTACAATACCACACTTTAGTCGGTATTTGTCTATATTTTATAAACAATTTTGACAATAAATCAAATTTTAAAAATCTCATAACGAAGCTAAAAATGCTTTAATTTCAATTCGGAAACTTTTTCTATAAACGTTTTTATTATGGCAATAAAACTGCTTACTCAATTTAAAATGAAAATTTTTGTCGATTTTTGACAATTTTAATGATGTAACCCCTTACGTTTTCTTTAAGTTTTTTGCAAAAATCGATCAAATTTTCAAAAAAAAATTTTCAACCGGACATACTTAGATCGATTCAGCTGTTCATGCTGATCAAGAATATATATGATTTATGGGGTCGGAAATGACTCCTTCACAGTTTAACAAGCTTCTGACTAAACGTACAATACCACACTTTTAGTGGGTATTTGTCTATATTTTATAAACAATTTTGTCAATAAATCAAATTTTAAATCCATAACATGTTCATGCTGATCAAAATATATATGATTATGGTCGGAAATGATCCTTCACAGTTAACAAGCTTCTGACTAACGTACAATACACACATTAGTGGTATTGTCTATATTTATAACAATTTGACAATAAATCAAATTTAAAATCCCATAACTAAGCTAAAAATGCATTAATTTATAATAATTCGGAAACCTTTTCTATAAACGTTTTATTATGGCAATAAAACTGCATACTCAATTTACTCGGAACTGAGTCCTTTAAAGTTCCACAAGCTTCTGACTAAACGTACAATACCACACTTTTAGTCGGTATTTGTCTATATTTTATAAACAATTTTGTCAATAAATCAAATTTTAAAAATCCCATAACTAAGCTAAAAATGCATTAATTTCAATTCGGAAACCTTTTCTATAAACGTTTTTATTATGGCAATAAAACTGCATACTCAATTTACTCGGAACTGAGTCCTTTAAAGTTCCACAAGCTTCTGACTAAACGTACAATACCACACTTTTGGTCGGTATTTGTCTATATTTTATAAACAATTTTGACAATAAATCAAATTTTAAAAATCTCATAACGAAGCTAAAAATGCTTTAATTTCAATTCGGAAACTTTTTCTATAACGTTTTTATTATGGCAATAAAACTGCTTACTCAATTTAAAATGAAAATTTTTGTCGATTTTTGACAATTTTAATGATGTAACCCCTTACGTTTTTCTTTAAGTTTTTTGCAAAAATCGATCAAATTTTCAAAAAAAAATTTTCAACCGGACATACTTAGATCGATTCAGCTGTTCATGCTGATCAAGAATATATATGATTTATGGGGTCGGAAATGACTCCTTCACAGTTTAACAAGCTTCTGACTAAACGTACAATACCACACTTTTAGTGGGTATTTGTCTATATTTTATAAACAATTTTGTCAATAAATCAAATTTTAAAAATCCCATAACTAAGCTAAAAATGCATTTATTTCAATTCGGAAACCTTTTCTATAAACGTTTTTATTATGGCAATAAAACTGCATACTCAATTTACTCGGAACTGAGTCCTTTAAAGTTCCACAAGCTTCTGACTAAACGTACAATACCACACTTTTAGTCGGTATTTGTCTATATTTTATAAACAATTTTGACAATAAATTAAATTTTAAAAATCTCATAACGAAGCTAAAAATGCTTTAATTTCAATTCGGAAACTTTTCTATAAACGTTTTTATTATGGCAATAAAACTGCTTACTCAATTTAAAATGAAAATTTTTGTCGATTTTTGACAATTTTAATGATGTAACCCCTTACGTTTTTTCTTTAAGTTTTTGCAAAAATCGATCAAATTTTCAAAAAAAAATTTTCAACCGGACATACTTAGATCGATTCAGCTGTTCATGCTGATCAAGAATATATATGATTTATGGGGTCGGAAATGACTCCTTCACAGTTTAACAAGCTTCTGACTAAACGTACAATACCACACTTTAGTGGGTATTTGTCTATATTTTATAAACAATTTTGTCAATAAATCAAATTTTAAATCCCATAACATGTTCATGCTGATCAAGAATATATATGATTTATGGGTCGGAAATACTCCTTCACAGTTTAACAAGCTTCTGACTAAACGTACAATACCACACTTTAGTGGGTATTTGTCTATATTTATAAACATTTGTCATAAATCAATTTAAATCCATAACATGTTCATGCTGATCAAGAATATATATGATTTATGGGTCGGAAATGACTCCTTCACAGTTTAACAAGCTTCTGACTAAACGTACAATACCACACATTTAGTGGGTATTTGTCTATATTTTATAAACAATTTTGACAATAAATCAAATTTTAAAAATCCCATAACTAAGCTAAAAATGCATTAATTTATAATTCGGAAACCTTTTCTATAAACGTTTTTATTATGGCAATAAAACTGCATACTCAATTTACTCGGAACTGAGTCCTTTAAAGTTCCACAAGCTTCTGACTAAACGTACAATACCACACTTTTAGTCGGTATTTGTCTATATTTTATAAACAATTTTGTCAATAAATCAAATTTTAAAAATCCCATAACTAAGCTAAAAATGCATTAATTTCAATTCGGAAACCTTTTCTATAAACGTTTTATTATGGCAAAAAAACTGCATACTCAATTTACTCGGAACTGAGTCCTTTAAAGTTCACAAGCTTCTGACTAAACGTACAATACCACACTTTTAGTCGGTATTTGTCTATATTTTATAAACAATTTTGACAATAAATCAAATTTTAAAAATCTCATAACGAAGCTAAAAATGCTTAATTTCAATTCGGAAACTTTTTCTATAAACGTTTTTATT